AATAAGAGGAATCAATTTATTTATTGTTATTGCCTGATTTTTGGAGACTGGGTAATGCTTCTATATTTTATTCTATTTTTGAAACTTTGAGGTCATGTAGATACCACACATCCCATAAACCAAGGCCATATTTTGCATCCTTTCCTGCTATTTTCAATTATCATTTTTTAAATAGTCCCACCAATGCCGAACAGCTGCAGAGTGGGGATGACATGGCGATGAGGGGAAGGTGATAGTGACCGCCGCGCTATCTCGTGCCGCCTGAGAGAACTTGTCCCCTGTTTTTGGCTTGACAATACCTGCTTGTATCATACCTTATCACTAGAAATTCACCAGTGGCTCCTCTAGACCCTAGCAGTGCCCAGATAGGGGATTCAAACGGATAGGCGTCAGTGAAATTATTTTCAATTGTTACCTCAACAATTATTATTTAAACAATAACCGTCGGGGTGCGTTGATACTCTCAATAACTCGAAAATTCAAGGCTGTGTGCTCCATCAAAAAAAGTCTCCCTTCAAATCCTTCCTCCAATCTCTCGAACCTTTTCTCAAAATTAAAAAAAGTGTTTTGGTTATGTTTCCTGGTGTATAGAGTGAACGTTTAGAGTGAAAACAAGTTTCTCCCTGGAGGAACTCGAATATTTGAGTAAATAAATAGATAAAACCACCAGTGGACAGATCGAGAAGCAGAAATAAATGTCTCATCCGGGGAATTTTATTTTCTCATCGAAGATGTGAAGAAATTGGCAATTGTAGAGCTGATATTTGCACTAGGTGTTGACAAACACAATGTCTGAGCCTCCCAAGATGGGAGTTCTTGGCTCCAAGGAAGAGGACAAGAGTGTTGATGGACAGATGGGGAAGGAGGACTCGCCCTACGATACAGAGGCTCTCAGTATCATGGATATAAATGATATTATTGGTGTGCAAACAGAACCTGTTGGGGACTCGACTCTCGAGGGAGAGATGGCCGCCCTCTCGGCGATGATTACAGAGGGAAAGACAGATGATCCAGAGTCTGAAATACCCTCCACCGTTGAGAAAGAGAGGGAAAAAGATGGCTCCAAAGAGGAATCCACGATCAATAAGAGTCTTCAGCTGATAGGAGAGGCTTACATATCCGAAGACTCCCAGGAGGTGGCCTCCGAGGGAGACGAAGTAGCTCCCAAGGTGGTTTTCTCCTGCAAACTCTCAGTGGACAAACGGATTCCACCACAGGATGCCACGGGCTTCCTGGATCTGTCTTCTGAAGATTTAAAAGATGTCGATGCAGAAGTTAGTGAGGAGAATCCTCTCTCGGGAGCTGAGGGTGAGGAGAAACCTGCTGAACCACCTGGGGATGATGTTCCAGGGGAAGGTATTGACTTAATTCCCAGTGAGGGACAGACTGAGCCATTGCCTCCAGTAGATGATGTACAGATTATTCCAGAGGTCGGGCGAAGTGAGGGAAAAGGCTCTGAAGAAGAGGATTTACTTTTGGGACCTGAAGATGGAATTGAAACAGCCGATGAACATGAAAAGGTGACAGAACAGATCCCGGAAGAATCTTCTCAGGTCGAAGAAGTTGAGGCATCCGTTGAAGAAATGCTCGTGGACGCTTCTCAGGACGTGGGAGCAGGACTTGAGCCTATGGAGGTCGCAGGGGAAGACCAACCTGATAAGACGGAAATCCTGGATCACCTGGAGAGCAGTTCTCTAGTTCTGGATGAAGTCGCCGGCAAAGGAGATGCTCCAGCAGGGGAAATAAATTCTGATGGAGACTCTTCGAAGGATCAATTATCTGATCTCCAGGTGGAAAAAATTGAACTTGAAAATGGAAAAATTCAGGTGGAAGAGGAAATTGAAGGGAATACTCCAGACGCAATCGGAGATATTCTGGAGGAAGTGACTTCACTGGAAGATGAAAAAGAGAGACATGAAGAGGGGACTAGTGCACGAGATTCTGAAGGGAGAGATTCATTGCTGGAGGAATCTGAAATTAGTCCAGCTATTTCGCAAGCTGCTGTTGAATCGATTGATCAAATTACTGGTCCAGCAGAAGAGGAAGGAGTAGATGAAATGGAAGAATGTCCTGTCGAGGAACCTGATAAAATGGAAGAATCAGTTGTTGAAGAACCGGATGCAATGGAAGATTCAGCTGTTGAAGAACCGGATAAAATGGAGGAATCAGCTGTTGAAGAACTGGATAAAATGGAAGAATCTGTTGCTGATGAACCGGATAAAATGGAAGAATCCGCTATTGAGGAACCAGAAAAAATGGATGAATTTTCTGGTGAAGAACCGGAAACGAGTTCGATGAATCTTGAAGAAGAATCTGGTCCTGTAATAGAAGTATCAGAAAATATGGAAGAAGTAATTCCAGATGTTCCAGTTGAAGCTGAAGTGGAGGAACCTCCGGCGTCGCCTCCTGGACCTCCGGAGGAAAATTTAAAAACCCTCGATATTCACCTCAAAGAAGGTGAGAGCACAGAGGGACAGAGAGATAATCCCCGCGAGACTGAGGAGACAACCGAGAGTGCAAAAGCTGTCGATAATATTCCTGACCTCAAAGATCTACCTGAAGCTTCCTTTGGAGCTCCTGAAGAGCCCCCTGAAAAATCCACTCAAGAACCCCCTGAAGAACTCCTTGAAGCGCCTCCAGAAAAAGTTCCAGATGTCGTTGAACTCCCAGGAGAGATACTAGAAGAAATCGAAATCTCTCCAGCTATCGAAGAAACTTCAAAACAACAAGAAGAAATTTCACAACAAATTGAAGAAACTCCAAATAAAATGGAAGAAGTTTCACCTCAGATTGTAGAAACGTCAAATAAAATCGATGAAATTTCCCTTCCGATTGAAGAAACATTAGATAAAATGGATGAAATTTCGCTTCCGATTGAAGAAACTTCAAATAAAATCACCGAAAATTCTCCTCAACTTCAAGAACCCACAGACTCTCCCCCAGGATCTCCTCCCACCGAAGTTGGTTCTCTGCTCACAACCGGATCTGCCCCTGAGGAAGTCATCGAAAATCCAGGGAAGACCGAAGAAATGGAACTTGACCCAATGCCAGCAGTTCCTGACACTGAGGATCTATTCGAGGACGCGATGGAGAGCTTGGAGGGAATCCAGCCAGAAGGGATCATTGAGGAAGGCCTCGGGGATGATCTAAAATCTCCAGGAATCGTAGACACCATTGAAGAGCCAGAACAAGCAGAAATACTCGACTCTCCGCCAAAACTCTTGGAAAATTCCTTCAACCTGGACCAACAGGAGAAAATAGACATCCCCGACGAGCTCCTGGCAGATCTTCCAGAGGAGCTCGACCCCCTGGCCTCGAACCCAGAGATATCTGAACTGGAGTGCGCAGTCAAGTTTCTCCAGGAGTCAGAGGAGCAGGAGATCGAGTCTCCACTGGTGCTGTCTCCCAAACTCGTCGAGAATGTGGAGCCTGAGTTGCCCCAGTCATTCCCTCCAGGTGACGAGGACCAGGTTGACCTTGAGGCCGAGCTTGATCACCTCATAACAGATCCAATAGCCATTTCCGAGGCTGAGATAATTTCGGAGGCTGTCAAACTCGAGAGTGAAAAGAAGCAGAAGGAAGAGGCGAAAATCTCCATCGAGTCATTCCCTGCCGAGGAAGAAGTGAAACAAGATATTAAAGTAGAAGTAAAAGCGGAGATAGAAATCAAAGAAGAAATAGAAAAAAATGACGGACCAGAAGAGAAAAAAGTTGTTGCAGAACCTGTGACGATAGCGGCTTCAAAGGCAGAATCTTCAGAATTACTAGGTGACCCAAAACCGACAGGAAATCTCCCAAAGATATCAATCCTGGAAGAGCGACTGAGGGAGCCCCCAAAGATCGAAATTCCCACAGCAGAGCCCAGGATCTGTGACACCCCGATGACCCCAAAAACAAGCCTCTTGATCCAGCGAGACGCCAAAATTTATTACCACAAGATGCTGGACTCGCCTCAATCCCAGGAGACTAAAATCCCAGAGACCCGAAAGGATCACGATAAACACGATATCGATAATATTGGCTCGCCCCGGATAATCCTGAAGATTCCAAAATCAGCGATAGCCGACTGCAGCGAGCCGAGATCCCCGAAGAGTCCCAAAATCCGTTCAGCTGCGAATTCACCAAATCCAGAGGACAGCCCGGGCCAGAAACTGGGGAAAATCAGGATGAAATTATCCCGAAGTGGTCATCCATCGATCATCTCCAACGAGACAGAAGAGCCACAGAGAGGTGACAGCTCCCTGTCACCTCTGGGTATGAAGATAAAACTCGGGAAATCAGGTGACGCTTCGATCATTCAATCAGAGAAATTCGATCCACCAGAGGACAAGAGGCTGGAGTCACCCCTGGGAATGAAGATAAAACTACCAAAATCGGGTGAAGCACCCTCGATTATTCCGCAAGATTTCAAGGACCTGCAGAAGCACAAGATTGACATGCAGCAGTCTCCGAAGAGAACGGAGTCACCGCTGCCAATGAAATTCAAGCTATTGAAGACAGGTGATGCATCGATAATCCAGCAGGTGGATAGAGTGGAGGATGAGACCCGGGAGATATCCCCAGAGGTCTCCAGGAGGACGGACTCCCCCCAGGGTGTAAAGATGAAGATATCGAAGAAGAGTGGAGCATCGATTCTGGATCCTCTGCCCTCAGAGTCTCATAATTCTCCCAAGGACAAGTTGGAGCTGCCAGAGATGCCTCGACGTACGGAATCACCTCTGAGTATTACTAAAATAAAACTCTCAAAGTCCGGTGATGCCACGATTATTCATCCCGATGTACTCGAGGACAATCAGGATAAAAATAAAATCGATGTGTCATCGACGACAGCCGAGTGCGTGACAGGTGTCACATCACCCATTGGTGTGAAAATTAAACTGACGAAGACAGGGGATGCCATGATTATTCATCCTGACAAGGAGGAGGATGTGAAGGAGCCACACCCTATGAAAATAAAATTATCGACGATCAAATCGAAGACTGAGGGCTCTGGGGCTCAGGAAATCGAGGGAAAAGAGGTGAAGATCATTCAGAAGCCCCTTGACCCGGGGATTGAGTCGATGAAGATCAAACTGTCCAAAACTGGACATCACACTATTGTTTCCAGTGAGACTGACAAGTCCAAGGATCTCATCGAGGTTTATTCATCCCAGAATAAATCCTCGGAGGTGACTATCGAGCCGATTAACCCAGAGGACAGCCTGAAGAGAAGGGACACGACGATCACGTCACCAGTGGAGGCGAAGAAGTATAAAATGGAGACGAAGCTATCGCATATTTTACCAGAGGTGACGATACAGCCACTCACACCCAAGGATCACAGACCTCATCCTCAGGGAGTTTCAGCACAAGGTGGTGCAATCAGTCGACAGCAGATGAACGTTATCAATCGAGAGATCAGCATCACTCAGGTGCGATCACTAGCTGGAAATTTCAATTCGATAATAGAGAATGAGGCTGAAGACGTGGAGATCATTGAGCCTCACCCTGAGTTGATCATTGTCAACGAGAATTCAAATTCGAGTCAGGATGTTATGATCATCGAGGAAGTGGCTAGGATTCCTGAGGTGAAGATTCCGAAGAAGAGGGGAAGACCCAGGAGGCAGCCTGTGGTCGAGTCCATCCCCAGGGATCCTCTGGCTCTAGATGTACCCATGAGATCTGTGGAACCCAAGGAAAATGAGAGGCCAAAGAGGACTTGCAGTCGTCAAAAGAGTTATGCACCACCAAAAAGGGGACGGGGACGGGGTCGAGGGAAGAGGAAACTCGATAGAACGGACTACGTCGTGACTAAAAAGCCCAGGATCGAGCAAAATCTCACAATTATTGAGAATAGAACTACTGCATTGATTAATCTCGATGATGAGGGAGTTTCTGAGAACTCGGCGGAGATTTATAAAGTTCTCAGGAATCCCCAGGGCCAGGGCATCGGGATCGAGGCGTTGGAGATCGATGGATCCAGGATTCAACTGGGGAAGGGAAAGCTCGAGGACGCGAAGGAGGGAAAAGACACGTTTGGGGCGCCGGATAGACAGAATTGGCTCACACCTACCTCTAAGAAACTTCTCGAAGGCCGGAGTGATATATCTACTGTTCAAGTCATTGATGAGGAGACCAGGATGAGTGCTGAGTCGTTCTCTAGGTCACAGACTCCTGCCAGGAGCATTGGGGCGCATGGTGAGTTTGATTATTTTTTTATTAATGCATTGAGGAGTGCGATTTGAAAAATTTGAGGGCTAGAATTTTTCGAGGAATCGTTTGAAGAGAATTGAAAAAATCATTTTCCTTCAAATTTATGGTTTTCTCTGGGTTAGGAATTTTTCTCAATTTATGGGCCCAATACACGTAAAATAAATTGTTAATTGATGAAAAAATTCAATTTTAGAAGAAAGTGAATTTTTTCCCGAAAAATTCTAAGGCCCCTGGGCGGCGGTGAAAAAAAAAATGATTTTTACATTTTTCGAAGGGTTTAAAGGTTTTATTATTGTTTGTGAGATGATTATGTACGAAATTGATAATCAATTAGTGGAAATTGGATTATTTAGAAAGAAGGTCGTCTTTGTCCCTGAAATTCTAGATCGAACCCGCGGGACGAAAATTCTTCCTGTCTGATAAAAACATGAAGGAATTCTTACAAAGGTGGACGCACCCCATGCCCCAATCCTATTCGAAAATCTACCTCAACTGCCTGATGTCCAATCCCCTGAAATCCCTATTGGTAGGTCTCCAACAGACATCTAAAAATAGTGACCCCCAACCGTGCGATATTCTCCGTGCTCTGAACCCGCGACATATACCTGCCACCGAATTTCCCGAGCAACCCCTTAACAAGGATTTATAATTTTCCCCAGCTGGTGAGACAATAATCAACGAGGAGTCCCAGGGTAGTGTGGTGAGTACAGCAACGACAGAGTCTGAGAAAGTAAAAGTGAAGAATCGAAGAATGGAGATAAATTTTGATCCAGACGAGGGCCCATTCACAGTGGAAAAAATAGCTGAGTACGAGTGGCCAGCTGATCGCAAAGGTGACACCTTCATGATCCAAGAGCAAATATCCCAATACCTGGGTGTTAAGTCATTCAAACGAAAATATCCAGATCTGAAGAGACGAATGGTGGACATGGAGGAGAGAAATCATCTGCGTGAGAATGGTCTCGTCAGTGAATCCATGTGTGACATGGGGTTGACAGCTGTCTGCAGCAGTGAAGTATTGGACATAATGTGCAGTGATTTTCCGGATCAGTACGAGGAGTACAGAAAGCACATGAGGGAGAAGCAGATAAAGGAGCATTCGAAGAAGCAGAAGGAATTGACAGCTGCTGCAAATGCTGAAAAAAATAGAATTGATTTGGCGGAGATGGCTGTGCAATCAGCAATGTCCTGGAACGCTGGTTTCAACAAAGCGAGGAAAGAGTCGAGGAAGTGCAGTCTGGACCTCCAGACATTCACTATTCACGTACCCAAGAAGCAGCAGAAAATCGAGGAAAATACGAATGTCAGTCATTATCCTGTTGCCTTCATTCCAGGACAGTACACGGATTATTACAGGGAGTATACACCAGCTGAGTTGAGGTACTATCCTCTCAACACTGTTTTGTATGGGCCCATGAGGCCCAATGTGAGGAAATTTGATAGTCAGTCCGAGGGGTCGCAGAGTGACAGCGACAGTGATTCCTCGTCTGATGATTCCAGCTCGTCTAGCTCTGAAGGCACTCAGGACACTGAGGGCTCTCAGTCCACAATGGATGATGTTGATATTGATTTGTCAAGTCAGAAGGACAAATCCCTCAAGTGCAAAATGTGTCTCAAGAATTTGAACAAGTTTAGCAAACCTGAGTTGCAGATACAGTGTGGTACTTGTAATGGATATGTACATCCCTCCTGCATCGATCTCACTTTGGATATGGTACCTCACATTCAGGCTTATGCCTGGCAGTGCACTGATTGCAAAACCTGCGCTCAGTGTCACGATCCAGCTGATGAGGACAAGATGCTGTTCTGTGATATGTGCGACAGAGGGTAAATATTATTTATTTATCAGGAGAAATTTATTTGGAATTTATTTGATGATGGAGTCTTTTGAGTTTTTTTTTTTTATTTAATTTGAAATTTTTTCAGGTATCATATATATTGTGTGGGCCTGCGGAGGGTTCCTCAAGGACGTTGGCATTGCCAGGAGTGCGCCATGTGTGCCAGTTGCGGATCCAGAGAGCCAGGAGGCATGTGTGCGGAGAGAAATAGTGTCGCCCAGTGGCAACACGAGTACAAAAAAGGAGATAAAAATACAAGGGTTTATGTCTCGACTCTCTGTGTTCCTTGCTCCAAGTGAGTATTCCTGATGGTTAATGTAATTATTGAAATTGCAAATTTTCTCACTAGTTGAGTCATCATCACAGTGTGAAAGATTCTGTCATCAAGGCTTTGTTTTTATTGCTTTTGAGATTAACAGATTGAAATTGATATTCGAGTGTCTTTCCCTTGGGTTTACTAATTAAACAGCTAACATATTTTCTATTTTCGATATCGATGATTAGGGCTTTCACTAACTCATTAATCATTTATCACGTTGATAAGGCTGTGGAGGAAGGGTCGGTATTGCCCTCATTGCAGTCGATGTCATACTGCATCAAGGCTCGACCTGGAAGAAAACCTTGTGCACTGCAGTGCATGTGACAAATATCTGCACTTAGGTATATTTATATCCATCATCATTAGAGTTCTCAGATTGACTGACAGTTATCACCTAGAATGCACGTTCTACAACTTGATTATTATTTTTTTACATGGTGAATGGTATTTTCGTAGTCATACAAGTCTTGGAAAAATCAACTGCATCTCCTCAAATTTTCACAATTTTTTTACTACTGCTTACTACAACTTCAAAATGATAAGAAATAACAAGGAGAATTGGAAATTCATCAATTTCTAATAATAGAGAATCTCTTAATTTTCTGGCTTTCACTTTCGTGAAAAATTTTTTAGGACTGAATAGTCACCGGTTTTGTTTGTCATGTTAGAAAAATTTTACGTATTCAAACAGAATTCAGCTGTGAAGTTGTGAAATCGTAACAATTACAATTTTCCAGTTTTGTTAAATTTCGATCGATCTCGAAAACTATTCATTTAAAAAAAAAATATGAAGAGAACATTTTTGTTGGGAATTCAATGATCCGGAAAAAAGTCCTTTCATATTTCCATCGGAAATCGATAATTTTCGGGATAAATCCATAATTCAGAATTTTTTAATTGGATTTATTTCACTTCACACTTTGCAGTTGAATTTTTCCAGCAAATACAAATGAAAAAATTTTTCTTCGCAGACTGTTTGGAGAGCAAGGACCTGATAATAAATCGGAAAAACTACCAGTGTGATTACTGCATGCTAAATCGACAGCAGATGGGAAAATCTTTGGTATCCAAAGGTTTAAAATCGTAGGAGGAAACATCGGCCACTGGAATTTTCACATGTTAAAGGCTGTAAATCGGTGATTCGTTGGATTTATTTATCGATTTTTCCACATTGGCTCAATTGTTTCGATCCCATCATTATGTAGCCTATAATTCCAGATAAACTGACAATTCGTTTCATCTTTTCACGTTTTTCATCTTAAAAAAATCAAGCAACATACATTCGTTTTTTTCTACATTGCAAAAGTTCATGCGTGCATTCATTAGAATTAAGAGTTAAATAAAAGGACAACAATTGGAAAGAGAAAATGCAACTTATTCAAAATATATCTCGTTTTATTTTCACATAATGTATTCTCTCACAACATGTTTATATTCCTGGCGTTGATGAGTTAATTCTCAATCGAATGTTAACTGCACTCGAAACGTTTTCTTTTTACCAAGAGTTCATTCTCGTGTTCATTGAATCACGAAGTTCTTGTTCCAGTATTTATTCAATTAAAAATCGGGACATTGAAAATCTCCACTGAATCTTGGAGATGAGAAAAAATAAAGTGATAATAGTGAAACGTTGAGCAAAGAATAAAGAGGTGTCGATGCGACCAACATCTCGGAGTATTCTTGACTAGTCGATAAAGATAAGGGAAATTTTCCCCTCTTGGACTGATCGAGTGAAGCTCATTCGAGGTACCCAAGATAATCGACAAATAATCGCAGTAATCGGCATTAATTAATTAACAAAACGAAAAATAGAAATACGTTTGACGTACAATTTTTTGTTCATCCCTATTTAAATTCCTTTGTGTAAATAATTAATTGACCAGTTTATCATTTCCTTTGCGCGAATAATAAAAACCTCAAAGGAGTAATTTAATTACTCGTGTCTAACTCCGCACACAGACAAGAAGGTACTGAAATTATGCAAATGTGTCGTTGGTACGATTGTCGTAACCAAGTTACGATTTGAGAAATTATCGAGAACCCTTCGTATCATGTTGGGGCCTGGTAAATTAGCGACTTTGTAAAAAATACGTAAATTACAGGTTGGATTTTCACTCTTCGAGTCTTTAGTTAATTTAGCGAGGAGATACTCGAAGGCCTCAGTCAGCTCGTCATCAGTTAATTCCGATGAATTTAAAGATGTTTCCGTTGCCAAGTTTCCAGTCGAATTGGACGACCCTGGAAAATACGTTGACATGAGCAATTTATTACTTCTATTAGTCACCATCGTTTCTCTGGATTCATTTTTTCAAAATATTTATCATTACTATCTCCATGAGGCTGGCGATTTCCAGGAAAAACCGTCCAAATTCATAAATGTAATAAACAACAAATATTGTTAAATACTCACTGGTCGACAAGTAACAAACAATAGCTGAAACATCGTTCTCATAATTCCACCTCCTCCGTATTGCCACTTTGAAATTCCCCACACACCGACCAGTCTCTTCGTCTGAAAAAAATGCCGAATCATCGATAATATTTAAAAAACCGAAATGGAATGCCTTTTGATAAAGGAAAAATTCCAAAATGCAATCCAGAAAAATCCAATGAATTCCTCCAGAGTCAAAGGAAGAAGGAAACTCACATTCAAATCTATTATTATCCCTGTGCGCCCAAACCCACCACTCGACATGAGCATTACGTGGCAGATGGGGTACCACAATGTAATCGACAATGGCATTATTAGTACGTTTTTCCCACTCCTTCCTGGCCTCTGCGATGTAACTGTGATGCGTCAGGAAGCAAATCCCCTGGACGATGTCCCTGAGTTGCGTCGACGAGTCCATCGCGTTGACGATGCGATTAATGTGTCTCAGGGTGAGACGACACTGTCTCTTGATGTTCATATCGAGGAGTGATAAATTACCAGGTACCATGGGAATCTGTCCAGCAACAGCTATGATGTGACCGATCTATCGATTTGAAAAAAAAAATCCCATTTTTTTTTTCATCAATTCCTTATAAATTCTATCTGATTCATTTTTATCAAGAAATTGAATAGAATTTATTATGTTTTAAAATTTGTTGATAATATAATGAAATGATTTAGGAGTAGGAAAAAATGAGAGAAAATGGACAACTCACGCGAACCGCTTGGGAATAGGGTCCAATGCTGGCAGGGGACCAGTGGCTGATGCTCTGAACGTGCATCGTATGTTTCTTCAGCACCTGTTCATCGTCATTCTGATGGATTCCCTTGTAGGCCAGTGCATCGATGACCACAGGTACATTGATAGGACATTGGATGCATACCCTAACTGGAGGATTCGTATGTGGTAATCTCGTTGTGTAAACGTCATTAATAGTAGAGTACTCAGACAAATCTTTGACATACATCGTCACCCCGACCAGATTTTCCATGTCGAGACCCTCGTGCTCAACGAGACCTGGGGATAAAAGAGAGTCATCGAGATTGTCATGGAATAATTCAAGACCAGGGGAATAATAATTAAAACAAAGTTTACCTACTGCTTAATTTATCGAGTGCCTCTTCCATTGCTATTTTTGTATCACTATCTTTTCCTATGATGCCACCGAACCAGTGCCACCCAGTCTTACTTCTATTGGCCATTGGAATATCTGGATAATCCTCATCATCGTACTTCGATTCCGTTGGACTAGGCGGACTAAAAGATCCTGAATTAATAAAAATACAATTCCATTAATTCCCTGGGCTTGAACAAAATAATTTCATAAAACACAAAAATGTCGAGGTAATTACAAAAATTTGAAAAGCCAGAAAAATTATTTGTGGAGAAAAACATAATAGATTTACTGAGGAAATTATTGATTCGAAAAAAAAAAAAACAGAATCACCAGAGTTTGACGACTTGAGGCTCTTGCTATCCCCATCAGTCTCATCATTCTCATTATCCGAGAAGTTGCACCCATCCTGCATCTCAGGGCCAACAATCTCGGCAATATAATCATACGGTGTCTTCACCGGAATATTCTTAAGTCTCTCGTGAAGTGTGAGATTCTCCAGGTCCCCCTAAACGAGGCCATTACCAAAAATCAATGCAATCGTGAAAAAACATGAATTATGAACGTGTAAACTCACAGCCTTATTCTGCAAATGTATTTTCTTAAAATTTAGATATCCAACTGGGGCTATTTTATCATCAGAGTGCACCACACTCTCGTATTCGTCGCTAAAAATGAATGACAAAAGATAAATCAAAGAGTTGCACTGATTACGCAGAGTGCTTTTATTTTTCTTGGTAATGATAAACTCACATGACGATGCTTTTGATAAAAAGTGGACAGTCTAGGGTAAATGTCTCGTACTCGCCGCCCTCTCCACACACGTTCACGCCGTACATGTCATTCTGCAGATAAAATGATTGACCCATGATTATTTAAAGCCCCAAGCTCGAATTTTTATCACTTTATTTAAAGATTCAAATTAACGAAAATCCGCAGCAAATATAATACGAAAAATTCCGGAGTAATGTATATTTTTTAAAAGAAAGAAACCGTTGATACAGCATCACCAAAAATAAACTTCGAAGGGGATAGCAGAGGTATTGGAAATATTCCAACTTTGAATTCACGTTTTGTGGCTACAGCCTGGGCCAAAATTTCCCCCTAATCCCTTAAGAGGCATAAAATTCCCCAACAATTGAATAAATCACGATTTGAACTCACGAGAATTCCAAGATTGTGCTGCATTTCAGAGATACTCTTCCCCAGATGTTTGGGCTCGAGTCCTTGACAGGCGACTTTGATAAGCACAGCATTGACAGAGCAAGCGATCATCTCCTTCAAAAGTTCATCCTGATTCCTCCGCCACAGATATGCCAGTGAAACGAGTCCCAACCTGCTGCACCTGAAATAAATCAAATAAATCCTCAATTACGTAAATTCGGTAAGAATTCCCAACACTCAACGATCGAATAATTACACATTTTCAACGCGAATTCGTTGATAGTCACTCAAAATAGCACCGGATGCAACAGCATTGATGTTTTCCTTCTCCTAAGTGGAAAATATACTGTAAATAAATATAATCACCTATAAATAAATAATAAATCTCGAGTTACCTTGACTTTAGTTAAAAGCCTGTACAAATCTTCCACTTCGTCGTCCTGGGTGGGTGAATAGTATTTTTCCCTCATGCATGATTTACCAAAGGTTGGTTCTCTGTACAGGGGCAGGCCCATGGCCTTTCCCATGTACTCAACCCCTTGATGCCCAACAGTTTGATACATAAATGAGTCCAGCTCATCTGAAAAATTATCGTCAAACTTTTTCATCTGCCCTGCGAGGTTTTGTCAATTTCATTACCCTTTCCAACGGGATATAAATTAGCCAGTGCCACGACATCATGACCAGCAGCAACACACTGCATCAGATTGAATATCGAGTCTTTACCACCGCTGACAAGTGCCACAACCCTCATCATAGATTTGTTCGGGTTTATCAGGTGGACAAGTACCTGATGACAGAATATCACAATTTTATCGGTAAATCCCATTAATTATTTTAATTGCGCAGTTCAAATCATTATAATTAAATTAGCAAATGTCATTTTAGAACAATTTCTAGCTCTCGTACTCTGTTAATTGTGACTGATTAATTAATTGAGGATAATTAACCAATTAAATTGGCATCGTCAGGGAATTGTCATTTTGGTAAAACCTCCAGGTCAAAAAAGGAATTTTTCACATGAATTTTTTCCTGCGATAGAATCAATCATTTGAAAAAAGTAAATCGTCCATTTTTCCTCTCTCCTCTCCCTCGAATCCCCGAATAATTAATGACAATTTACAAACGAGATTGTTAATGTCAAGTGCTGCAAATGACAATGATAAATCACAAGTCTGTACATATTCGGATTCTATTGTTGTTTAAAAATAAAATCCTGTCCCCTGTTGTGCAAAAGTTGGTAGAAAAATGATAAATAAAAATGATACTAACTAAAAACGAGGATTTTCACTTGGAAATAATTTTTTTCGAGTGAATACAAACCGAAAAAAACTGGAAACCTCCGATTTTCCACGAGAAAAAAAAAATAAATAACGTTAAAAATTAGCCAATAAATCTTGGTACTAGATCACGAGTGTATTGTTGCCTCGAAACTGCCTGAAGTATCACGAAACACGATTGCCAGAGGTCTCACCGCTTGATCACAGATACCGAATGTTTTTCCCACTTTGACGAAATGTCTCGGATAGAAATACATATGCGTGAAGAATCATGAGTGGTCACCGTCAATTATCGAAACAAAAATACACCGATAAGCCGTCCATTGGGGTGGTTTCAATATCTAGAGACACTTATTGGTTAAATCCCATTACTCCCTAATATGCCATAAAAAATATCAGCTGTCGTCTCTTGACAATCTCTCGTTATTTAAATTCAGTAATTATCTGTTCAAGTGCAACGAGTGCTGAGCCGGTATATCAATTATTTTATTAGGTATTTACATTAAAATTGATGACGAGAGTACCCCTGTCACACTAGGACACATTCGGACTGCAAGACGACACCTATCAGCTGCTGGTGGAAGTTTAGGATAAAACTACTTTCTATCGAGGTTATCGGGATATTTCAGGGATTATTATCTCCCCCTCGAGTTTATTCACCTCTTTCCTGTACCACCGAAGTTCCTGGAACGTTCTTGGTGCACATTACCAGCTACTGTCGAAGGGTGACAAAAAAATTTCCCATTTTGTCTCAACCTCCTGAGATTCTCAAGTCGATCTTTCGCGTCACCGTTGCTTGTGACGTAGTTCTCCGATTTATCGTTCAAGTTCTGTTGTAACTTTTCATGAGAATATCCGTCAATTTTCATGCGGACTTCTCCAGCTGATAATTGGAGATTACGAATTAAATAGACAATTACGAGTATATAATAATAACTCAAAAAAATTTAAAAACCTGGGCCCAACTTTCAGACTTCTTTCTACAAGAACTGGGAACTCCCACGCCCTCACCCTCGGAACCCCTTTTCCAGGAATTTCAGTCATAAACTACCCCATGAAAACATAAAAATTATTTCCATCAGAGAGACAATTTTCACGTGAATTCAAGTTCCGATTAAATTCGCATTAATCCAGCCCAAGTTCTGCAAGTATGAGTCAAGTTCTGGCCAAATTCCAAGAAAATCCAACAGGATTCCCCGAAATGGGTGCGTTTGGTTTTCGATGGACATGGAGATAATGGAGATTACCCAAAAAATATTAAAGGGCATTGGGTACGAGATAATGGCTGCCCCCCCATCCCTATTAACCTCCGGGTAATTTTTGTCGTCTCGACCAATGAGAGAGCTCGGTTACTCCGTCGCCATATTACTTTCGCTACGGTCGCACGAAGTATTCCCCAGGAGTTTGCGTCCCTCTGGTGTTTCTCAAAAAAAATTCAGTCGAGTCCCGTGTACGCTGTTGTGTACAAGCTGCGTCAGCGCTTGGGCTTACCTCAACCAATTAATCCCCCAAAAAGTCCTTGCAATCGTTATTTACCCAAGTGTACATCGAGTGCAGTTGTTCATTAGTGTTTTAATTTCAATAAAAAACTTTGAAATATGGTATTGGCAGAGAGAAATTCGGAGAACGTGAGGAACGGGCGGAGATCCAGGGGCCCCAGCCCCAATGGACAAACTGAATCCTCCAGTGAGGAGGATGGAGGTAATTTTTACTCATTACCACACTTTTATCGTGTTTTATCACTCATTTTATCTGATATGTCCATTCGAATCACTTTTTTATCCCCCGAAATTTTGATACTTCCTCGGCTTCACCTCAGATTTCCACTCTTTTTCATTCCTGACGTTCGCAGGACCTTTTCTCATCCAAAAATCACAGGCGACGAGATTTTACATTTTATGCCCTCGGTAATCCTCTCCGTAGGTCTGTTTGTGAAGAAAAAAATAGAGGTTTGATAATTTTGAAGATCGATGAAATATTTCGGGAGAGGAGGGACTGGAATAAATAAATTATAGAATAAGTCAATTTGGACTAAATTAAAATTGCTCTTCAGGTTATATTCAGAAATTGTAGATGTAGTTTGTTCTTATGATTTTTTTTTGCACTTGTTTTGGGGAAATTCCTGCGATTTGGGGGTGAGGGATTGGGGTAGATTGGGGAGTTGATATGATTATCGTTTTATGGGGTTGCAGTTCCAGCTGAGAAGATTCGAGTGGGCAGGGACTATCAAGTTATCGTGCCTGAGTTCATTCCAGTTGGTGGTAAGTCTCGATCGATTACTGCATTAAAAATTTGGGAATGCGAGATTTTTATGGTTTTTTTTTGTCCAGAACGACGATTGGAGAAGTGTCCAGACAGAGCCCTGCTGGTGTGGTCACCCACTACAGATATTCCAGACCAAAAATGTAAGTTAAATTCAATAATTAATGTTAATGATCATGTTATTTACTCTCATATGAAAAATCGAAAATTCTGACATTTTTTACTACGATTTCAGTGGACGAGTACATCATCCTGGCGAAAGAGAAATATGGGTACAATGGGGAACAGGCACTGGGCATGTTGTTCTGGCACAAGCACAACCTGGAGAGAGCAGTCCTGGATCTATCGAATTTCACCCCATTCCCTGATGAGTGGACGGTGGAGGACAAAGTTCTCTTCGAGCAGGCATTCCAGTTCCACGGGAAGAGTTTCCATCGCATCAGACAAATGGTAAAATAATTCTTTCATTTTTTTTTTCATTCATTTCAATGCAAACTCGAGTGTATCAAGAAATCGAATTGATTAATTATCGATTTATCTTGAGAACTACTCATTTCAGGAGAAAACATCCGAGGAACTTTTCTGTGGAAAATTTATTTATCTACAGAAACTTTTCTCACTGTTTTTCTCTCAAACCAGGCCTTCAGCTCATTTTCCATCAATTATCACTCGACTAATTGACAAATAATAGAAGTAGTGAAACCGTAAACGGTGACAATTCGGAATCGAGGAGAGATAATGAAATTTTGTCAGGAGGTTTTTTTTGTGGCTCTCATTGAATTCAGTAAAAGTGGTTCTGAGAAAAATTTCACTATGTCTCTTAGACCATTAAATTTCCAACGGTGTTTCTAATAATTATTTTGCATTCTGATTTGATCTAGCTACCAGACAAATCCATTGCGAGTCTAGTTAAATATTACTACAGTTGGAAGAAAACACGAACCAGAACATCCCTGATGGACAGACAAGCGCGTAAATTAACGAGTGGAGGAAAAGAGGGTGAAAATGGCAGTGAAAATGGAAGCGAACTTGGTTCCAACACAGACAGCGAATCCGAGGAAAAAGTAAGACATTTTTTCAATCACTGCATGATAGCCCGTGTAAAATTACAGTGTTATGATAATTATTGAATAATTTTACCTGAAGTTACATTAAAAAAAAATGTATCCACACGGCAACTTGAGGCATTGAAATTAACAGTAAAAAAAGGCAATGACGTACGACAGAAGCCTTGAACATTACGAAGGCACCCTATTTATTGAAAAAAAAAACAAACAAAACGTAGAACTTATTCCATGAATTGCCGTTTTCTGTGTATGAAGTACTGAATAACGAGATAAAATGAGAGAGTAATGTGGAACGTTCCAGAAATGGACGATCCACCGCGGAATACGACGTGGAAAAAACCAAGCTGTGCCAGGGAACCAAGGTGCCGACGTCAAGGCGACCTCCGACTCGGAAAACATCCCCCAGGTTCAGGTACAGCCTAAACCTTACCCCAATCGTTTGGAAGACACTTTGTGCATTAGAAAGCTTACACTGTATTACATTCTTCGCCTTTTTTTTAGTTCTGCCATTTTTCTTTTTCATTGCTGCTCGCTATAGAAGGGAGATAGCGAAATTTTTGGTAGGAACTTTTTCGTCGCTCTCAGTTCACTCTGCAAAAGAGGTCCTGAAAAAAATAGCGCTATCTGTCTCAGATTCAGAGATATTGTTGAAAAACTCAGAGGGGGTAAAGGGTGACATGTCGATTTTGTTGATGGATTTTTTCCGGGATTATCTCGAAATCTAAGAGAGATGGTGAATTTTTCGGAGAACCTTTTTTGGAGCTCTGATTTCACTTTATAAAAGAGGTCATGATAATAATTTCGCTATCTTTGTTGGATTCTGAGATATTCCTCAAAAACTCGAGGAGAAAACATGTTGAACTTTACGTCTTCGGGATTGATTTACATTTTACAGTTGGCTGTGTAGATTTGTAGTTCGAAGTATTTTTCTTCCATTGTTGCGCACTTTTTGGGTATTCCTGAGGCGAAGGTAGTGAAATCTTTTTCGTGGCAATCGATCGTCGAAAAAATCGACATAGGCTGATCCGGGGGCTGGAGGCTCAAGGAAAACTCCTGAATTTCACGGAATTCTAATGGAAGTTCAATGAAAAATCCGGGAGAATTTTCTTTTCCCATTTTAATTTTCCGGTATAATTTATTCCTTTGAAATTCTTCATGCCGAAATCTTCCATGATCTCTCCAAGTTATTCTGTATTTTTTTCAAGACGAAAATCAAGAGAAAATCGGAAAATTCCCGCAGAATTTCTCCAGAGAGAATTTCCAGCACAAGCCCTTCAGCCCCTGAAGGATTTCGCTCTCGACCTCGGGATTTTCCTTCCAAAAATAGCAGATGAACCGATAACCGACAGAATACCCACGAAAATCATAATCTAAACCGAATGGAATTCCCTAGAAATTCCTGAAAGCCTCAGATACTTTCTCTATTGCTTGATCAATGAAAAACACTGCTTTCTTTCCAGGGGAATGAAAAAAAATTTCTAACGTGACACATGAGTTGCAATTCCTTCATTTAAAAATTCTCATCTATCACCAAACATCAAATTCTCATCAACTCGAGTGATCCTCACCCCCAAAATAAACCGGGAAAAATATTCACGAGCGATAGAAAAGTTTCGTTGAATCTGATTCCCTTGAAATATTGTATCCAACTTAAATGGGCCTTGTATGTTGTAGGGGTCATGTAGCAACTGCGGCGTTGCTTGTCATAGTGTTCGTGCAACGCCCAAGGGACACGCGTGTCATAGCTGCTATCTTCACTGGAGGTCAGTGGTAGAAATTGAAGAAATAAAAAAAAAGAAACCGATTAAAAAAAAAACTGTTTTCTAATCTCGAGTGATATGGTTTAGACGAACGGGTGTCGCGAGGCCCCTGAGTTCCATGCCGGGTCGTTCTAACAAAAGAAAACCTCCCCGTGGACTGGTAGTTAATCACGACGATCTTGCTGTACTCGCTGGTCAGCCCAACCAGGCAAACAACAGCCTCCAAGCTATCGACACTGAAATTGTTAGCCTCAAACGACAAGTATGTTATTATTTCCCAAAAGAAAATCGTGTGGATACATTTTTCCATGAATTCTCCATCAATTGTTCATCAATTCTCAATGAATTTTGCATTATTGATTTTTTATAGTGAATGATATCTAATTTATGCTCGTTAATTTTACAGATTCAATCCAACAAGCAGCAGGTCAGTGCCCTGAAGCGAAAAACAGCCAATGGAATTGATGATCTTCGCCCACCTGAGGTGTCCAGTCGCATCAACGCACGCTGGACAAACGATGAACTGTTGCTGGCAGTTCAGGGGGTGCGAAAATATGGAAAGGATTTTTCAGCGATAGCTGATGTCATTGGTACCAAAACTGAGGCACATCTGCGCTCGTTCTTCGTTAATTATCGACGAAGATACAATCTCGATGCTGTTCTCAAAGAGTATGAGGCGGAGAATGGACCAATTCTCATTGATGATGAAAAAGAGGAGAAGGTAATTGAGAAGACGGAATTATTTTCTTCTGGAAATTCTCCTTTAGTGCTCTGAATTTTTTTATTATATTTTTTGATGAGTCTGTTAATTTAAGAAGAGAGGAATAATTTTGGGGAAATTATTTCCAGTGTTTTATTTTATGTCGTTTATTTAAATTTCAGATGGATGTTGATCAGCAGACAAATGAGACCACCGACAGCTCAAAAAGCAAGACTTCCGTGAGTGTCAGTCAGACGGTGAAATAACATAACGTAGCGTGAATATCGCGTTCGCAAAAAGTAATTTAATCAATTGAATGCAATTTTTTGAAAAATCAATGAGATATACTATGTACAGTACCTATTACACGTGAAATTACCGAGAAAATATGGAAAATGTTGACCTGTTTTCTCACATACTCCATAGAGATTATTTGATAGAGCGTTTGTCATTTTTTTTTTCTTCGTCGATCGACAATTTTTATTCGTGCAAAACTGCTGATTAAAATTTATAACTGAAAAACGAAGATTGTGCGTGTTTTCAAGACGATTTCGTTGGCAATGTGAGATAATGAATTATTTGTTTGGAGAATTCGTATTTGAAATCATTAATCGTCTAATAATCCACAGGGAAAATATATATTTCAGGAAATGTATTACATTCGTGGAGATAAAGAACAAAAAAAGTACATGAAATATATTCTCACTCTATATTTTAGGTATTTTTTACGTAAGTTCTCGGTGAATATCTCGGAATCCAAGAGGCATGTTGTAATTTTACATTCTAGCTCTCAATCGACTCCACAAAAAATGTCCTGAGATAAAAAATCAGTCTCCCAGATTCCGAGATATTCCTCGAAAGCTCGAGGAAAACGTTCGACTGTTGGCCCCTGATTTAAATTCGAGCCTTTGCTGAATCACCGAGGAAAATTCGCCCCCAATGAATCCTCTGGGTTTTCCTCTCGAGTATAAAAATTATTACCATGAAATTAATTACTAGAGTTAGGATAAACGTTAGCATACTGTGTGCTGAATATCTGAGTAGCTTAAATACACCCCAATCACTGTGGAGCAGCTGATAATCCTCAGCCCCCACGACTAACTGAGTTTGAATATTAATTGTAAATATCTGAAGCACTACTGTATATTACAAAGCATAACACGAGAGATGAAATCGCTGGAGATGTGGGCACACATTGCCATCGATTTCCCAAGAATGTGGGGAGTCAACCTTGCATTGTGGAAAAAAATTGTGAGTTTGCATTTCAATTTATTTTTTTTTTTCGTATTTTTTTTTGCCATGCATTCACGTTGCCAACGTTTCTCATGACAATTGCAAGAGAATACCACTGGCTGATGGTGCATTTGACTTATGATCGAGTGTAGAAAAATTTATAGATTTAAGTAATAAATTATATTAGCCATTAAGAATTCCTCATCGTAATTCAGAATTTAGAATAAGATAGATATGTTATCTAGGTAATTTCTAGGTGAATAAAATATATATATTACAAGAATACTATTGGATTTTTATCGCCACGGATGATGCGGTTCAGGAGACATATTCTGCTGTCCACCCATTCCCAAACTGGACAATTTAGATAACTGGATAGAACATCGCGTTGTTTCCTGACATTGACGAAGCCCTCCAGGTAGTCTATTCCTGTCTCATTTATAGTGGTAATATCAATTTCGTCTTCGTCAAATGACGGCAAGTAATTTATAAGCACGTAGTGAATAATATCACAAAATTTTACATGATCTGTGTACGTGTTCTCGAAGTTGGAACGACTATCCGGGTGTCTGGTGGGTATATTCAGGACATCTTCCACGAAATCACGCTGTATCTGCTCACGTCGATCAAGTGGATAAAGTGACGGAAAAAGGAAAATTGCCCTCAGCAGGACCCGATGGACATTCTGTTCCAAATGATTCACTTTATAATACTCACCCGGTGGATTGTCTAATATCTGAAATTCCATCAGGACTTTATTGGCCGTCTCTCGGATTTCAGGGATTTCGTCGTTCATCAGCGCTGCGAAACTCGCATAAATCATTAATTTAATGTTATTTTCCAGAGACGAAAAATCTGGAATTTTCTCGCGACATTTTTGCAGGCAGTCCACGGCCCAGAATTTTCCTGAGTCATCGTCGTTGCGAATCGTGTGTAAAATGAAATTCAAAGTTTTAGTCTGGTACTCGTACTTGTCGAAGAGAGTCAGGACGACCAGTAAATATCCCAGTCTCTTCTGATGTCCACACGAATGATCAATCAGCTTCAAAATTATTCCTTTATAATCAACTCTCAGACTGTCTTCAATATTTATTTCCCTGCACTTTTCTAAAATTTCAATGACAAATTTGATAATTTGGGAGCCGTACGCCTGCAGGGCAGAATTCCCCTCGAGAATAGCAGATATTTCCCGAAAAGCAGAAGCTAAAACTTGAATTTTTCTGTCATCTCTATGAGTCTCCACAATTTTCGGATGCTTCATGACGTATATATCATACCTGGTCCCTGTTACAACCCATTTCCCAAAAGATTGATCCCCAAAATGCACCTGAATCTCAATCAAATGATCGATAAACTCCCAGAATCCAGGACGGTCTTCTTGCTGTTGAATTTTCCCTGAGAGCACTTCCTCAATTCCCTGAGCCTCGAAACAAGGAGAATTCGTCAGCTGAGGGGACGCCAAAAGGCATTGGAGGAACGCAGTCTCCACGATGTAATCGATGTTGAGTCTTCCCCTGGTCCAGAGGTCCAGGAGCCCCTGGAGTCTCCGCAGGAGTGCTTTAGTGGCTTCCAGGACTGTTTCAGTCTTTCCAGTGCCCTCGCATCTGGCCCTCGTCATGAGGTGCTCCAGTGTCATAAAAAGACAGTGATTGTAATTCCTATCCTTTCTCTCTTCCCTCGTCATTTCCAGAATCACTTCAGGGACGTCTTTAGAATTCACAAAAGCAGCGAAAGTTTTGGCGACGAGATTTCTCACCCCAATTACTTTATCCTGGAAGAGTTCTCGGAGTTCCCTGATAATATCTCTCCTGAAATCCTCAGACAAGTTCTCATTAGATACTGTCATCTTGGAGAGCAACGTAAGAACAGCCATGACAGCGACATGGCAGTCCCTTGACCTCAGCTCCTGGAGCGTCTGACCAGCGAACCTCCTATAATGAGTGAAGAAATGTTCGACAGAGCATTCACTCTCGTCCTGGCCTACAACTCTAGGAATAATCGCCCCCAGAAGCTGCAGGCTGGCATTCCTGATGGTCCACTCAGTGGACTTCAGATGCATCAGACAGATCAAGAAGATCTCCTCCAGGTACTCCAGAAAATTCTGATTAAGGGATTTATCGCGCACAGCGCTCTTCAAGAAATGGAGCTGTCGAGCTATTGGATGATCATTTTTAGAATTAGATCGATAGTTATCTCGAGTCTCAGGGGAATCTCTGAGATCCTGCAGAATCTTGGCGACGGCTGTATGGAGGAGAGGTCGTTTGTTCTGATCTCGAAAACAAATGAGTTTATGAAATATGATGGTCTGTCCTGCTCCTCTCCTCGTCACGTCCACCTCGTCCCTGGAGTCGAGACTCAGCAAATTCTCCAGATGTCCCTGGAAGTACTCAGCCCCCAGGTTGTTGTTACTCGTCATCCTCCCCAGGGCGACGCCAGCGGCCTCGATGGCACCCTTATGCCGACACCTCATCAGAATTCTCACGACAATGTCGATCAGACGAATGTAGATTTCTCCCCCCAATGAATTAATGCATGTCAATTTCTCACAGAATTCACTGATTGTCGCGAGTGACATCCAAATGCATGAGAGAATTGTCTGGTGGGCAGGAGAGAGCATGCAGCTAGTGGATTCATCGATCATTCCACTGTTTGTTATAATGGCTTCTATCGCTATCCCCATCTCTGCGAAGGACGAGGAGTACTGGGTGCCAGGATTTGGAGACAACGACAACAAGAAGAAATTTGACGTCTCCTCCAGGAACTCCACCAGCTCCTGGACATGGTCCTGCTTCAAGATATCAGCCTTGACGCTTAATGTGTCCAGCATTGCCATGAGAGATCCGTAGATGCGTAACATTTTAGCACCTTTCAGGTGGAGCTTGGCTTCCTCCAGGAGAGACTTCGAGGTGTTCAACCACCTGCAACTTATCTTGAGCAGTTTCATACCCCCGGAGATCTCGTAGAAGTTCTCGGAATGAAATTTCGTCAATCCCTCTGCGTGCAATACTTCAGCGTCTTCATCGATGATTTCTGGGCTGAACTGCAGACAGATGTCACAGGCCATCGAGCTGATCTCGTTAATTGAATCCAGGCACAGCCTCGCCAGGGCCCAGAAACTCCTCTTATCGGTTGACGTCCATGGACAAAAATTACTTGACTTTTGGAGGATCTCGTAGATACTCAGGCCTATTATCTTTCTCTGGTAGCAGGAGCCAGGCTCGAAGCAGTTCAACACGAACCTCCGGAGATACTCTGAAAAATCAGTCTCTTCTTTTTCGAGGGGACGTTTTGAGATTCTCTTGATGAGTATTTTGAAACTATCGAGGAATTCCTTCCTGAATCGAGCTGATGCTGTTCGTGAATTGTAGTACAGAAATACTTTGCATATTTCGTAATCGTTATCCTTGTGGCAAGGCATGAATGTGCCTCCTCTGCAGCAGATGGCGAAGCCATTCAGCCTGACGTACTCACACGGATGACTCAGGTAGACGATCTTCCCCCTGTTCCAGATGTTTATGGCCTCCCATAGATTGCCAGACTCAAAGAGAGGATACAGTTCGTAATTTTTCTCCACTACAAGCTTCAGGAAAAAAGACTGAGACATAAACATGGTACAAGTGGACAAATTAGGCCAAATAAGATAAAGCATTCTGCGATTGAATTTCAGAAAAGTCGGCCTGAACCACAGATCCCAGATCAGCTGCAAAGCCCCCCAGTGTTCCTCCTTCTCCCACGACTTGACAACTGATAGAGCCGATCTGCCGAAATACCGCCACCAATCTTCCTGAGACATCCTGCCCAACAGGGAAAAGTACAGCTTCGTCGAGGGGTGCTTCAAGTGGCTCTTGGGGAAGCTCTCGACGATGGCCCTGATGTCCAAATAATTCAGAGTAGGAGGGCTCTCCAGGACTGAGACCATCGCCGAGAGAATCATGAATTTCATGGAATTCTCCCAGGACAGATCCTTTACTGTGACACGCCAGAATTCCTCCAGGAAATTCAACTCCGTACCCTGCTTTATTGATTGGTACAAACGGAATATCTCGGGTGGATTCCACCTCTCAAGATCTCTGACGCGAATCTCACAGGCTATTGGCCCCAAACCCTCCATGGGTTCGTTTAATTGATTCCAAAAATCAGTGCCTCTTGTGGAAATCAGAAAGCGTTTCAGCAGTCGAAATGCTAGGAATGTGTATTTGGTGTAAGTGCCACAATGTCTCTGGAGTATAGGGAAGAATTGAATGAGCCCAGGCATCTTCGTCATAGAAAGATAACTGTCGATTATTATTAGTTTGAATAGCTCTGGATCTCGGGGAACAATCTTCACATTGATCAATTCAATTTCATCTGTTTCTTTTAGTAACTCCAGTGTTTGGTGAGTCACAGCCCGTGGCTTTACCTGGGAGTACCTCACTGTCAGCATCCTGAAGATTATTCGACCTGAGAGCAGTGCCTCTTCGTCCTGGTGATCTTTACTGGCGATGAGGATCAGCAGCTCGACGATGAGGGGATAGAACGACTCGTGATCCCAACTACATGTTCGGCAGGCTGCCACTATATCTCGCAGGGTCTTTGAGACATCTTCTCCTCGAGATTTCTTCATCACCAGGTCTTCCAGGGCCCTCCTGGAGTTGAAAACGTACCCACCCATCGGAAAGGGTTCCAAATACGGTTCCATGACCCGGTGATCGTTTTTTTTTTCCGGTGAATTAAGGGAAGAAGAAAAAAAAGGAAAAAAAAACAAAAAAAAACAAAAAAAAACAAAAAAAAAAAAAAAAAAAAAGGGGAAAAAAATTGAATAAAAAATAACCAAAAAATTAATGAAAACAACAAGGGAAAAATCCTTTTAAAAAAAAAGAAAAAAAAAAAAAAACCAAAAAGCAATCAAAACCTTTAATAACAACAAAATTTTCCGCAAGGTCCAAGAAAATTTTTTTGTTTTTAATAAATTAGGAATGTGATAATGATTGAATTGATGCTGTGGAATTAATTGTCGTAAATTACTCACTATTTTTCAAATCATAGAAACAATTATTGTTTGTCCCAAGTCGTCAACTCCACGTGTGTTGACATTTTTTGCAGGTATGGGTAGAGCTATGAGTTGAAAATATTTTTCCCAGCCAAACCAGCACCAAAATCATAATTATTTTACAAATTCCGGAGATGTGGAGACCAGAGAGGAATAATTTTCGATATTCTATTACTTCCCACCCTTTCCGAAATCTTCGACTTTCTCTAATTTAAAAAATTATCATAATTAATTAAAAATCTCTATTAAATTACTGTATCTACACCTCCATTACAACAATTTATCTCTAAAACTGTTAATCTAAACTAAAAACATTAGAGAACATTTTCATAGCTAATTAAATTTCCACCATAAAATATCTTTTCACATTTTCTCCTAAAACCACCAGATCCCTTGATATAATAAGAAAAAAGTGCTCAGCACTTCAATAAAACTGAAACAACAATTTTTTCTTCATCGCTAATGAAACGTGTGTAAATAACTGGATGAATAATTCCTTTCTTCCCCCCAAAAAAAACCACCGAGCCATTACAGTCCATTCTCTCAACAATATTGTTAATTTCTCTTTAGAGAAATGGTGAATGTTCCTCCCCACGAATTCCCCAGGTGTTTGTTCTCAAGGGAATAAAGGCGAGATTCCTGATTACACGTTGAAGCAACTCTCATTAGCGCTCTCCAAGAGAGCTGTAAAAAAAAAAAACAATCCAGGAGACATGGAACGTTCCATCCAATAATTTCCAGTCTCTGTCAATACTATCGATCCAGAATGAAATATTCACATTATTGCTGGTAGCGTTGATGAAAGGCGCTGGGAAACACGGCACCACTATTAAAGACCGTTTACGAGCAATTTGCTGGAATAACTCGACTCCTACCACGTGTCACTGCCTCCACGTTTAATTATTCATCCTCTAACGATGAGAGTCGAGTGTGTGGAAATTTATAGACGATCGAGAGGAGGATTTTAGTGACGAGGAAGGTCTTGTTATGGGATATGGCACCAGAGAGAGTCTACCAGATTTTGAAGTTCTTCGGTAGATTGAGTTGTACGTGGCCACTGGAAGATAATCCTGGCAAGTGGTGGAGAATAGTTAATGAATTGCAATTTTTATTTACCATTGTCAATGTCATGGGACTCCTGGTGCCACTTGTAGCTGGTGCTCATCATCATCGGCATCATGTTGGTACAGCCATGAAGGCCCTCTCGGAGTTGACTGCTCTCGGGGATGTCTTGTTCAATCTCATCCTCTGCAGAGTGCAGAGACATCGTCTCCGGGTATGTTTATCAGAAATCCCGTGATTCCAGGATCTTCCATGAAAAATTAAAATATATCTCAATGTATCTGTAATTACTTTCATAAAACGTGAGGTCCAGATATTATGGTGAAATCCTTGATTGCCCTGAATCCTAACACAAACTATTTTTCATAATTCCCTCTATAATTCTAGACTTTTCATTCAATTTTTCAGAATCTTCCTCCAGGAAATAGGGCGCGTCCTGACTTCATTAGTTTGTTGCTATTTCGATGTTCATCCTGAAAGATTGTTGTCAAGTCTTTTTTTTTTCGGTGATGAGTTGAGTTAAAGTATTAACGCTTTCAAAATGAACAGCAAAGTATATCCTTGAAATAATGCGCGTTCACTCGGGGATCCAGCAGTTGGAATAATTGCCTTCTTCGTTGAATCTTCTCTCTCCCCAAATTTACCTCAGGGATTGTTTAAACAAAGTTTTGGTACAGCCCTCAACGCAGCATTGTTGTGAGCATTACCCTGACCGAGTTTTATTCCCTCTCGCCTCATATTCAACAGTGTATCTATCCTTTGAGCCCTCATCTGCACACTCACCAGAATCAGAATCCCTCTGTTTAATTTTCACGAAAATGTTTATAAACCCGGTGTATAAACCCGCTCTTATTACAGGATCAAACACTGATATTTCCGTAATGCTCATATCTGCTGAATTTCCATTGCATTAATAGGAATTGATAAATTGTGAATTGATAAATTCGAATTGTTAATTAATTTCTCGGAAAATTCGGAAATTTCACATCAAAATCGTGCGTCAGTGAAAAGTGGAGTACGAAATAATTCCAAGGGTTGCTATCCCTTTTATTCATCGGGACTAAAATGACCTAGTGCTCCGATTACGTTAGGGTGAGGATGTCACTGGGTGGGATTATGCATCCAACATTCATAAAGGCTCCATCACCACAAAGCCTATTCAGGCTTAAGGGTTAATAATCGATCCCGAGAGGACCAAGGACAGATCGCAAATTCTGATGAGATAAAAAAATTTTGAAAAAAGAGACACCGCACAAAATTAGCCACTGAAAATCCAGCGAAATAACTGAATCGCTTAAAAATTATTCATTCACTTCAATTTCGCTCGATAGATTTTTTTTTTTCAATGATCGATTCCTCCCAAAAGGATCGACCGTCTAATTAAAAATTTGAATATCGAAAAAAATGTTTAATCTTTAAGTTTTCAATTCTTCTGCGATCCTGTTAAAATTTTTTACCAAATCCCAGTTTTATTACAGGATAACAGAATAATTGAGGAGTTACTCGATGCCATTCGCCATTTTGTCGATCGTTCTAAGAGCTAAAATGGCGGGAAAATAGCCTAACCCTTCAATTCAATTACATTATGATTGATTGTTACCACTGACGCGCAAATTCTTGACCTAGTTACTATTAATAACAACAATCCCACAAATATCGATCCGCCAATTATATCATAAATATTAATATCCTTCCATGATTAATTAATTCATTTCAGAATGAAAAATGTTTGGGTCGTCTTCTCTGTCGATATTATATCATCTCCTATTTAATAAATTATATTCAGAGAGTAGAGTGGATTTTTTTTTATTTCAGGGTGTTTATCAATGTGGAATAATGATGGTATTGATAATTTTTTTTATTCCAGGAATTATTGATGGAAGTGAGCACGTACACCGGTAGAATCGAAGGAGCAGAGAAGGAAATATTTCACAGGAGTGTCAACCACTACCTTCCATTTTGTGCATTGGTTGGACTATCATATCTCCAAACAGCTATTGCATTTTCCTTCGGGCCGCTCGTAATGTCATCAATACTCCCTGCCGATACTTGGTATCCATTTCCCATCGAAATATTTTCCACCCTCTACTTTCTAGTGTACATCCAACAAGTATTCACTATTATTCAAACTGGTATGTGCATCACTGTGGATTTTATGGTTGCATTTCTCCTCAGTTATCTGTCAGCTAGATTACAAACGCTGAATATTGAATTTCGGAGGGCTCATGGAGAGAGGGAACTCCATGCATGTATCGCACAGCATCTTGATTTTATAAGGTAACGGCTTGCAGAGAAATAAATATAAATATTTGAAATAAATTAATATTTTGGAAAGATTAAATAAAAATTATGGAAAGGATACATTTTGGGACTTTCGATAGAAATTACGGGGCAGTTTCGTAGAATTTTTTACGTTTACCACTTTTCTTTTTATTGAATATATTTTTCTCGGTGCGTATTTTTGGGGATCAATATTTTTATGGAGACTTTTATGGAGCACTGTAATGGAAATTAATTTCGTAGATTTGCAGGGGAACTTCGGGTGGCTGTACGATTTATCATTCTTAAGGGGATCGTTACTATGGCATTGGCCGCCATTTTCGGGGCTTTTCCAATTATTGAGGTGAGATTTTGGATGTAATCCACCGGAAATCCCTCCGAAATATCTGAGAATTATAATTATAGAGCGACAATTCCGGGTGAAAAAAATTGTGATCGGAATATTTTTTCTAATTTTTTAAAAAATGAAAAAATTAAAAATCGCTCCACGATCTTCGGTCGGTCCGCTAGTCAGAACTGTTCGCTTCTCCCGAGAATTCCCATTATTACGCGATTGGTGAATTTTTTTTGAAAATTTTTCAAGTGGAAATTTTTCAAAAAATGAAAAAATTAAAAATCGCTCCACGAGGGCCCATTCTTGTTGATTTCGAGTCTACGGACGATACGCAACTCAGATCTGTTCACTTCTCCCGGGAATTCCCATTATTGCGAGAGTGGTGAATTTTTTTCGAATATTTTTCACTTGAAAAATTTCCAGAAAATGAAAAAATTAAAAATCGCTCCACGAGGGCCAAATCTTACTCATTTCGAATCTACGGACGATACGCAACTCAGATCTGTTCACTTCTCCCGGGAATTCCCATTATTGCGAGAGTGGTGAATTTTTTTAGAATATTTTTCACTTGAAAAATTTCCAGAAAATGAAAAAATTAAAAATCGCCCCACGAGGGCTAAGGATCAAAGAATCTCGAATTTTCAACTACCGATTCGAGACTGGCAGGCGTCAATTCGTCGCTGGTTAAATTCTTTTCCGCTCACGAATTTATCGAAATTTCAGAACGAACCTCTGCCTGTCATTTCGCAATTCATCCTCATGGTTGTCGCTGGCTGTCTGCGACTTTATGTCAGTGCCTGGCCGGCGGATGACGTCCGTGAAATGGTACAATTCACGATAAAATAATTATTAATTCATTCCACGAGAAAATTTTTTAAAATACAAAAATCAGAAGTCCTCCCTGAAAATGTCTCAGCATCATTTTTTTCCCCAAATAAATATTGAAATAAACATAAATAATAAAATAATATCAAAGATCCACGCGAACTCATTCATTAATTATTTATTCATTAATTATTTCATTAATTATTCATATTAATTCATTAATTATTTATTTTTTCTTTAATCTCTGCGAAATTCACATTATTTTTAAATAAAAAAAAATGGTTTCAGTGAATTACTCAATTTTTTTCTTCCATTTTTTCGAATAAATTCTTTCGGACTTGTGATAAAACCCCATAAAAATATTTATTACGTTGAAAATTTCCATTTAGAGTGAAAAAATCGCGTGGTCCAGCTACGCATCTCCCTGGATAAAAAGTCCACGAAGAATGCGAAAAACCATAAGTATTGTTGTCCACCGAGCTCACAGACCTCTAGTCATCGCAGTCCACGGAATTCTCCCCGCGTTAACTCTCAGATTTTACGCATCGGTAAGTTCTCCAGTTCGTAAACAATTACATAAATAAATAAAGCCACGAAGAGATAAAGCGTAACTAGTCGATTTCCCCTGCTTTTCCGAGGAATATCTCGGGATTCAAGCGAGATAGAGAAATTTTTCTAAAGACATCTTTTGGAGGGTCAACTAAGACCTACAAAAAAGGTCTTAAGGATAATTTTGATAATTCTCTTGGGTTCCCAGATATTCCTCGATTACTAAACTGTCAAAATTTTGACGAGTGCTCTCTCTTTTTTCAGTTTTTGTCATCAACTCTCTCCTACTTCATGACTTTGCGTGCTGTACTGCGTAATTAAATCCATCTTCCCCATTCTATTTTTTAAAAATCTCATTACAAACAATTCCCCATAAATATTATAATTTTCCTTCAATTTTACGCAGTCACACCGACTCCAAACAAAAAAAAATACCAAAAACCCTTCGGATCGATGAAAAATCATAAAAAAAATTCTTACACACAAAATATAAAAACTATTTTTAAAAATTTATAAATTGTAAACAACGTGGAAAAATCTCAGAAAATAATGGGTTCAGATAAAATTAAAAAAAAGAGGTGTTCCCGGAGAATATTATGAGAATATTATGCAGGATGTACAGTACTTCATGAATTCTCAATTTCCATCCAATTTCCGCCTAAAAAATGCCGATGAATATAAATTTTCTTCATTCCTACGGGTAATCCGGGGAGAGTAGAAGATCGAATCCCCGCCTGGACGAAATGACACGCAATTTTCATTAGAAAGCAATCGAAATTGGTAAAAATTTCTACTTTTAAAAAAAAACCTTTCGTACAGAGAAATTGGAACCAGCACGAGGAGGAGTGTTAGATCAATACGAGGATAATACGATTGACCAACGCGCAGCGAAGCGAGTAGTGTCCCTTTTTTTTGCTTGGCTTCCTCACTTCCAGTTGAATAATTGAGTGTTGTAACAGGATCAATCGGTGATCGATAGTAGCGAGAGTAGATAAAAACATCTAGGCCACTAATTTTCGTATATAAAGGTCTGTCAAGTGCCCTTGGATCCAGTGTTGTCCTGGGTAAACCAGAGTTAACGCATCATGAGACGAATTATTATGGTGGCATTGGGAATAGTCTGCGTTGTGGATGCTAAAGCAGACAGTTACGCCCATTCATTTCAACATTTTAATGGACCAGTTACCGGTGATGATACAGAGGTGACTTGGACCGATCGACATGGTTATCAACATCAGGATTATACGGCTGATCCGCATTACGAATTTGCATATGGGGTTGAGGATCCTAGCACAGGAGATCTTCATGGCCGGAAGGAGCATCACGACGGTAACTAAAGCCATTCGTCTTCATTATTTCTTCTTCAATGACATTCTGTACCTTATGCATTCGCTAAAAAGGGACCTATAAAAAATTCTGTTGCCATTCAGAAAAATCACCTCACGCTTGTAACGCAAAATTTCAATCCGGGAGATAGCGATTCCGAAATACACAGTGAGAAAGGAATGGAAATATCTGCAGGATGGGTCAAAAAAATTGTTCATTTCTCAGGAATAGAATAAAGCGAGATGAGTGTAATTTGAAGAGGATGAGTAATTTTAATAATTGTTTGAAAACGCGAGGTGGGCGCGCCGCCATGTTTGCAATATCTGGCGGGTGGAGTGAGGGACACCATTTTTTGGGAATTCATTTCAGGAGCTTAGGGTAATAAATTTCTGGGTATTACAGGCAAAGCAGTTACTGGTGAATACACGGTGAAGGAGCCGGACGGCAACATCCGAAGGGTCAGATATCGAGCCGACGAGGACGGCTTTCATGCCCAAGTTCTCAACAGCAAAGATCGGAGTGATGAAGACGAGTGAGATTTTATATTGAATTTTTCTATACACTAGACTGCCTAAAATAAAAATATTTCTCAACATTTCTTTAATGATAATTATTCGACCCAATCCTCTTATCACATATATGCCATAGATCAAATAATTAAATTAAAATTAAATGAAATTCAAATCAATGATTAATTACGAAATAGATTTGATTATTTGAATAATTTATATGGGCGAGCAAAATCTTTGAGGCATTTAGATATTCCTTCAATATATTCATGACCAGTGGTATAAATAAATTCCTCCATAGTAATATCATGGTCTTATGAATACCGGAATCTGCGGTTTAGTTATCGGGAATTCCAGCAATTCGAGATAACGTGCAATCAGTGGTGCCATCTCCGACGGCGTCTGTCAACCGCGACGCACTCCATCTTCTTGTTTGCTTGCGCAGTCGCATAATAATTCTCTTGAGCGAAGGTTCGATGAGCAATACTCATTACTTTAGCATCCTCAGTTGCCCGAGGGTGAGGTTTTCCCCTCCGGGTGTCGAAGCCCCAACCGGAGACTTTGATAAAGTATCGGTTGAAATAACACGTAGTTGCACCGAAGATTACCCCAACTTTTGATTGCTCAAACGGAAGTTTAACGCCGAAAGAACTCGAGCGGAAGAAATACGAATAGGAATCGATCGATCAATCGAAACGAAAAATCATGGCTTTTATGATGATCCATGAGTTTATTGGATGATTAATTCACCAGCTGATGTTTTTGTCTCTGAGTTGTTTCATAATAAATATAGATGGTGAGAGGTGGGCATATCAATAACAGGGAATGAGCCCGTGATTTTTCACCTCCCTACTACTGCTCAAGAAAATCGCTCGAAGTTGCTCGAGGCATGCGCGGACATCTCCTCGCACACCCTTATTTCATTCCTGCTGAGTGGTTTGCTCGGTTTCACGAGGAGACCTCTCACAAACAGACTAACTTCCACACAGCTCCTACAATCGAGTATTTCAATCATGCATTCAATAAAATTGTAACGATGGTGCTCCATTGTGTTCCCCTCGGCCTATTCATAGAAACTTGAGTGACGTATCTCTGAATGTCAGCTTCTTCAACTCCGTCTCGTAATGATGCAATTTTTATTTAGCAGCTGCAAGTACGAGGCTATTATTTTTTACTTGGCATTCTTCTCCGATGTTTTTACATTTTCCGAGATTATTAAAACAGATGCTCGAATTATCGCGCCGTTACCGGGCAGTTTTCTCTGAAGTGTAAAGGTTTATTTTTAGATCCTGAAGAGTCTGGAATTGAGGACTTGGCGAGTCTTGATTTGAGCTCAGGAATACTCAAATTAAGACTTTAAGACTTGAGAACTCGAGATGATTCTGAAAGTCCTTAAGGAAAAATCAAAATTTCTTTTGAGATCCTAAAAAGCGGTTGAGGACTTTGCGAGTCTTGGTTTGAGCTTAGGATGACTCAAAAGTATCTCAAGGTGTCTCAAGTCCACTCTCAAAAGTTTCCACTTTGAGACTCCGGGTAAAAAAAAAATGTTTTTTTTTTCAAATTTTGAAAAAATTTCGGAAAAACTTTTCAGAAATTTCTTTTTATGAATTGAAAAATCGGGGAACAAAACAATTTCATTTTTGGGAAAGGTTTTGAAAAATTTTTCAAAAATTTGAATAGGTCAATTTTTTTTATAATTCAAATGGCGGATTTTTGGAGAATATTGAAAAATCAAAAAAGTAAGAAAACAGCAGTATAATTAAAAGAAAAAATTACATTCGCAAAATTTTTTAGAAAATAAAAAAAAAATCCGAGAAAAATTTTTGAAAAATTTTTCAAACCATTTCCCAAAAATAAAATTCTTTTGTTTCCCGATTGTTTTATCTCTCAAAATAACAATTTTCCGAAAAGTTTTCGCGAAATGTTTTGAAAATTTGTAAAAAACACTCCGATTACAATTTTTTTACCCGAGACATCAACCCTCAACCCTCAACACTCAAATTAAGACACCAGATAAAAAGTGGGACTTGATGCCCGAAAAATCGGTGAGAAAATAGTTTTTAAGACAGATACTCAAACAGTAGATACTCCCCCAAAGAATGTGAGTGAATAGATGTGACGGAAATAGATCTCTCATCGAGGCCGATGTATACGGTAAAGTCAGAATTCTGGGCCGGTCCGAACCGCATTGTAATTGCACTTTAATTAAGCCGTAATTTAAGGACGTACCTCACGGATGTTATGTGGGTGGAGATGGAGGCATCGGAGGTGAACACCCAATGGGGTAGGGCAGAGTAATTCCAACTATTTCAGCGCACTTCCTGCTAGCTATCCCGCCTTGGCTCTCCTTAATCGCACAAGTCTATCCTTTTGCACCAGTTGTACCACACAACTTCGCTCTCTGTACCTTCTCCACCCTCTTAGTCCACGTTTCAACCTCCTTTCCGGTGGTGTCTCTGGTACTCGGCCAATTCATATGCAAATTAAAAGGACCCGACCTCCAGCCTGCTCCAGACATTGTTCGCACTGAATTCTCCAGTGCAACGACGGCTTAACTCACTACCCCGAATTTCCGGAAAATTCGGGGAAGGGGTGGGCACTGTGTAATTGATACTCATCCCTCCAAGTCGGCTTCGTTTTACGGAACTCGATGAGAATCACTAAGTGTTTTTTACCGGGGGCGGGGGATAACTCAATTCAAGTCTATTCTCACTTTTTTACGGGCGGTAGGGGCAATTATTTCCAGCCACTTGAGATTTATTAAAAATATTCATTTATTTTCGCTATTACCAGATTTATGCGATTTTTTTTTTATTTATCTGAAATCGTACAAGTCGTAATTTGAGAAAAATATATTTATCGTTTCATAAAAGAGAGTTGTTACGTTAAAATTTAGATTTTCTATTTAAAGTGGAAATACACGAGAAAGTTTGATCCCTACACTGAGAGAAATATTCAATAAAAATTACGTGTATTTTCCGTAATTCTGGAGCGAAATGTGGTTGTCGGAAATTTTACGGAACTGTCACGTAATTTTTATCTAAAGTCACGGAAATTTTTCGCGGTGTTTCGTAATTTTTATCTGAATAATCGGTGAAAAATAACGATACCGTCATTTTAATTTTTGGAATCAACTCCGTAATCGGTAAGTGAACTGAAAGTTCCGTAATTTTTACTAAATATTTCTCTCCGTGTATGACTTGAATAAACTCATTTATTCCATCCGAATAAACTATTGCATTGGAATAAATGATTTTTCTCGGTGAAGCTACTTGACATTCCTCGTGGGGATCTCTCCAATTTTATCAATTCCTTGTACTTCATTTCATACGCTTGTTGGTTGCTCCCAATAGGTCGTGCTTTCGGATACCTAATGATTGTGACCCATAAACTCATATCAGAAAATGTATCTTCTCTGGAAATCCCGGGGATAACTTGACCATACAACCGACCCCATGAATCTTTCGCACTTGCGCGGAGAGCAGTGAATACTTTTTGGTTATCCCTCTCGCTATTTATTTTTTGCTCTTTTTCAAGGGAGTTCCGGAGAATTCACTGACAAACAAAACTATTCGTCTTTATTGTCGGAGCTCTCATGTAACTTATGAGTTATTCTGGTGTTCTGTACCAAGAATACCCGATCATCTGCCCCATATTTTTTGTTTTTCTAGTTGTTTTGGAAATTGGTTGTTAAAAAATCGTAAATAGACTAGTCAAATCCAATCTCAACGGTCCCGTCAATTTTTAATCTCCAATTTCCACAGCGAAAATTGCGCCGTACACGCGCACAAAAAATATTCGTTACCTCCACCAAAGCTTCTTTTGTCGCTTAATTATTTGTTATCGTTACAAACTTCGTTGTGACCCTGGGAGAAAGTTCAACAGAAAATTCAACGATTTTTTTCATCACAAATCCATAATGTCACGGGCGAATAATCGCGAAAAAATTTCCTGCGAAATTCTTGAAATTTCAATAATTCCTAAAATAAAAAAAAATCATTTCCACAGTTTAAACAAATTATCCGACATTTACCTGTCATTTCAACAATGAAAAACTGGGGTATCTAACACCTAACTAAAAATTCCCTCTAAAGAAAAATCTGAATTCAGTCCGGACCCTCGAAAAAACCGGAAATAGGTTCCGGTTCTTTACAGTCCGAAAAAAAAAGAAAATGAAAATGGCCCCAGTAGCCAATCCGGGTTCTCATCCCCGGTCCGAGTGCAACTCGAGATTTTTTTCCCAATTATTCTTTAAAACTAGTATACACCGGAAACTCTAGGTTTCCGTGAATTCCCGTACCGGAAATTCTGTGATATCAGTGTCTCGAGTGAGAACAACTGGTCTGGCATTGTTTCCGATTGTCGCTCGTCACATCAGAGGCTTCAGAAGTCGCGTTCATCGCATTAACAACAATGTTTACCGCCCCCTTTTTACTTACCCCCTTACCCCTCCCACATCCACCCATCAAGCACCCACCCGTCCACCCCTTCGTACCCCAGAAACATGCGTGACCTCTGCGCGAATGTCCACACGTCGTGCTTGGAATTCCGAATTGTCTCGGTTTTTCACCCCCAGTTCACACAAACGCGCAAGCCCTTCACACACCCCCACCTGCATGTGTGGTAGGTCGGGTGAATTTACACAAGTCATCCCCCCAAAGAGCCATCCCTAAAATACGCGCATGCTCCTATCACGAGAATTCTCCCCAGTCTGGGTTAATCTGCCTCGGGGGTGAGACTGTGTTGTGGTTTTCTCGGCGCAGCGTGACGCGAATTATTTTATTAAAAAAAAGAATAAAAAAAAACAATACGAAAGCCATCGATTCAAAATGTGAGGAATCATCTGAGGGGCCTGAAAATGAGAGTGATAAAGTGCTTCCAACACTGGGAGTGATTATCCACTGCGTTAATTACGCGAATGACGGATTACCGTTAGTCTCGGGACAAAACGTAAATATGGAAACAGCATGAGCTCGTGGAGATGAACGTCTGATTCTGGACTCTTGTCCAGAAGTCCAGGGGACAGTTGAATTATCGGTGATTTTTTTATTTTCCCTCATCTAGCCAATAGGAACTTGGTAACAGTGTGATTGATGTCGTCATGACAGTATCCCCGAGTTGTCAGCGGTTCACGCGAGTCGAATCGTCAACATCGATTGGTGAGCTGGAGAAAACAAAAAAAAAAAACAAATGAGTTTTCATAATGGAATTCTATCGTGTGGTGAACACTTGCTGGAGGAGAATTGATTAATTATCTATGGTAAATTTTTGAATTCCGAATATATCTCATTAGGTCTGACGTTTATTGATCTAGTTATTGAACTCGACTGATCGGTGTGGTGTGTCTTGAATGTGGATAACGATATTCGATCTTAATTATTGTCTCCTGTCAAAGTGGCCGTGAAATATTCGGTGGAAACAATCAGTGCGCATCTACTAGAATTGATATTGATGCTGGGCACGGGGCGGTGTCGGGAATCATTAACTGACGTTGATAAAGTTACTTATTACGGTTATGATTTTTTTCCGGTTGTGAAATGTGGGGAGTGGATTTGTTATAGTGTAGTCAGGATGATGGGTTGTATACGGTGCCATTGGACGGTGCACAGCGGAGAAAAATAGAGTTTGAAAGGGGATATGTGCCGTTTGGACGGAATTTATGGATTACCTGAAATTTAGTGCTTATTCCGGGGAAATATAACACGGAAATGGCTGTGCGATGGCAAACGAGGTTGTCCATTGTCGCCATATTCTTCATGTGTTCTGAAGGTAATTTTCATAATTTTATAATTCAATAGCTGGATATATTTGCCCAACTGTTTCAATTCGCGGATTGCCCTCACGGATCTCGTTCCACCCGCACGGTTTTATCTTCAACATCCTCTCAACTTTGAGCGGTATTAACCCTCGGCATCAACTGGGTTGTTTATCTGCTCAATGTTCAGTCATTATTGTGGGTTGAGGGTTATGATATATTTTGGGGAACTGGGTTGATTTAATCCACTGGTGGGTTGAATATTTATGGAGTATGAATTACAATCTGATTTTTTAGAGGGTAATTTATTGATCCAACTAGGACTTCCAGCACGCTGAGCAATTGGGTTGAATAATCTTCTCAGTTGGTAATTATGTGGGACTTTCCTTTGAAAAAAATTGCTAGGAATTTTACGGGACTCGAACCTGAGAACTCAGGATTACCAGGCGACAGCTCAACCGCGTGCTCCACCGGCGCGGTTTGGTAATTCAATGGGACTCAGTGTATGGACTGATAAATTAGAATTTGTTTTGAGAGAGGTAATTGCTAATTGGGGATTTTTTATGTTGAGATTTATTGAGCTGGGACTTTAATACCTCCGGACTTGGAATTTTTTGTTTCAATGTTTCAATCAAATAAATGAACATAAAAAAAACTACAACTCAAGCCTTTCCGATACTTCCAATTATTATTTTCCCAGATCAGACCCAAAATCCTAAAGTCCCATTCCATTTTCAGTCCCAACTTAATACCTCACGTATCCAACAAAAAAAAAAAAATCCCGGAGAACCTGAAATAAAATCCACGAATTCTCAATTTCCAAAATTCACTGCTCAAAACCGACATTGTCAGTCTCAAAACAATACCTAGAAAGTCCCAAAATAAACCTTATCATTCAGGATGGGAATTGCCGATCGATGATGTGTCATGTCGATGATATTCTGACAGTGACTCCCAGATTGCGATTTATCGCGAGATGGCGCGGCGATTACGCGGAATTACGGCCTAGGAGCCAATAAGTAAAACCCCCAGATGTATGACAAGTACTTGCCCTCCAGAAAAGATCCTTCGACGAGATGCCCCAGTTTCCCCAGTGCTCTGGGCTCTTGATCCCCTGTTCGTCCGTCGCTTGTCGGTTTGCATCACCGCGGATTTTCTCGGTTTACAGTTTCCCATGTCGATATCTCAATAGGTATCCTCTGCCGACGCCCTGACGTTTTCGGACGATGCAATGAGCACCCCATACTCATACTTCAAACTCAATTCAATATTCCAATAAAATAAATCCATTCATGACTCTCACTCGATTGAAAATCCCTCCCTTTCCAAAACGTCATCACATCATCCTACAACTATTTTTTATCAACATCTTGATTTTTCTCGAAAATAACTCTCTCAAAGAATAATTAAAAGGGAAATCATTTTGATAACAAAAAAATATATATCCTGGATTTTTATTCTTGTAAATTGGAGTTATTTCATACTTTTATCTCGGTATATAAATCTTTCTGTGCCACAAGAGAATTTAATTGGCAGATATAATTTTTTTTCATTGTGCGCATGTTAATATTCATTTACTCACAGAACCTGTCGCTGTTAGTAATTAATTGACATCGTAGCAACAATGGAATAAAAATTCTCATCCCCGGAAAATCCAACTGAATTCTAGATAAAATTTTTTCGAATTATCGGATACGAAAATTTAACTCCATCCAATTAATCGCGGATGGAAAAAAAAAATCAGGATTAACAATTTTTCCGGAAAATTTCCAGCGGTGAAAATTCCGCTCCCGAATTTCCTGTGGATTTTCCACCGCTGAAAATTCTTAGACCAGTTTTCCACCGAATTTCTCACAGCCGCCACTCCATCCTTTTTACCGGGGGATGAAACGACGTCTTTATTTTTCTCGGGAAAATGAATTGGAGATTTCGGATTTTCCATTTTCTCTTATCGTTTTCCCCGTGATGATGAGGATGGGGCGTTCCCCTGTTTGGACACATCAAGACTTGGGAAACCCTGGGGAAGGCCTTGAGGAGCAACGCAACCGTGAAACAAGCGCCTGTGATCAAATTTTCTTCTCCCCGGAGTGATTACAGCATATGATAACATGAAAATTATATAACGCTATCACAGATTTTTTTTCCTCCATTTTCTCTCAACAGAATTCGTCTTCCAAAGGCAACAACACTGAAAGACTATTAAAATTTAATTATTAATCACGCCGAAACTTCAGAAGCAGTCGCCAACCTTACAATATTAATAATTAAATATCCGGATAAAAAAAAATTGTAATCGGAATATTTTTTCAAATTAAAAAAACATTTTTGGAAAACTTTTCAGAAAATTTTTTTTTTTAACAAAAAAAAATCAAGCCATGTTTTGAAAATTTTTGAAATCATTTTCGAGAAATTTTTGGAAATATAATTATTACTTTTAATTGTGCTGTTGTTTTCTTACTTTTTTGATTTTTCAATATTCTCAAAAATAAAATTGTTTTGTCGTCCGATTTTTTTTCGTTTCATAAAAAAAAATATCTGAAAAGTATTCCAGAAATTTTTTTTAAATTTGGAAAAAATATTCCGATTTCAATTTTTTTTTACCCGAGCAGTACATCCATATTAATAATGATAATAATAATTCCATTAATATCCCGTTGTCTCCGACTTTTTAATAACAATAATAATACTAATAATATAAATAATATAGCATTTCAATATTTTAATTATAAAATTCCAGGATTTTGAACGAAAAGCGAAGAATTATAATTTTTACGGAATGATAATAAATAAATGATGATTTGGTGGAGAATTCGCGGTTTTTCGATGCTATCGATGGGAATCGAGTGTAATCAATCTCTCTAACGATAATTTGGGGATTTGCAGGTCTGCTGCTAGAATCGATGAAATTCTATAGTCTCGTGTTCCCCATTACAGATACATTAAGCATGGGTGAGGGTGTCATGGAGAAGCCTGATCACCATTCAGCTCAGGTCAGGCCGCGCCAGCAGATGATCGATTATTCGATCACTCATAAGACGATACTGGAACCGACATTTGACGTCACCCAAGCCACAAATGTCACAGCTCTCGTTGGAAAAACAGCTTATCTCACTTGCAGAGTACGACATCTCGGTAATAAAACGGTACGTACCGACTATTTTTCCACTCGGTACGCCAGAAAAAAAAAGTTCACACTAAATTACGTGACTGCGTTGAGGGAAAAAGTCACTTTTTAGGGCGACGCAAATACATTAATCTCGTGTACCAGAATTGCGGGTGATATTTCGAGTGGATGAATGTTTAAATATGATTATCGATTATTTAACTGTCTCGAGATTCGAGTTATTTAGCATTTAATGAAGTTTCAATAGGATTTTAATTCGATTGAGATTATCGAGTGCTCCGAATAATTGAGAATTCAGGTCATAATTATTCGGTAGTCTTAAACTATTATGGAACTATTGGAACTATTGGAACTGTTCCACGAAATTTAATGTCGCATTTTCATAATGAGATTTTAAACTGGAATTGTTTTTAAAATTGAAGCGATCGATCGCCATGAGCCACGGAATTTTATTCAATTTTCAGAATGAATGAATTCGAATGAAAAATGAAAATTTCAATTGAAATTTCTATCCGATCATTTGCATCCACCGAGTAAACGGGAATTATCAATATAATTTGAAATCCGGATGTACTTTATGGTATCGAATACTGAAATTCTCATTGGCTATAATCCGATTTTAAAAATAATCTCGTTTCGCTCTTCGGGAAGAGTGTAAGCTGCGGTTTAGAGATATCTCTTAGTCTCGGCGATATTCCGCACGTTTGACTCTTTTATGCGATCCTCCCACACGAAATATTGGCCTGGTTATCCAGGAATACGATAATCCGAGGCCCCAGGGGGTTTGATAGACAAATATCTCCCCAAGCGTTCGACCGAGCTTTTCTTAAATCCGAGTTCCTGAAAAGGGAGAGCCATTTCACCTCAGCAACACCTCGCGCATTCGAGATTTTCGCGGGAATCTCAAAAATTATTGAATAATATAATATAATCATATGAACATATGAATTATTACTATAATCCTGACAATAATAATCATTATTATTTATTATGAGTTATGAGGAATATTATAAATAATATTATAAATGATAATTGATGAGAGAATTCGCAATTCGTCGTGAAATTTTTCGCGCGAAATTCCGGTGAAGAAATTCTTGATTATTTTTTAGGTTTCCTGGGTGCGACTTCGGGACATTCACATCCTGACGACTGGAGTTTATACTTATACGAGTGATCAACGATTTCAAGCGTTGCATAGACAAATCAATGGCCACAATAACGAGTGGTCGGAATGGACATTATGCGTAAAATGGGCGCAGGAGAGGGATGAGGGCATCTACGACTGCCAGATATCGACAATTCCCCTGAAGTCCCATCAATTCTACCTAAATGTTGTCGGTCAGTGTCGAATCGCTCACATAAACCCTTTCGAAATTAATTGTTATATCTACCTGGATAAAAAAATGGTAATCGGAATATTTTTTACAGATTTTTGAAACATTTCGGGAAAATTTTTTTTTGAAACAAAAAAAAAGTGGGAAACAAAATTATTGTATTTTTGGAGAATTTTTGAAATAGTTTTCAATATATTTCCCGAAAATAAAATTATTTTGTCCCCATTTTTTGTTTAAACAAAAAAAATTTCAGAAAAATTTTCCAAAAATGTTTTGAAAATTCGGAAAAAATATTCCAATTAAAATTTTTTCCCCAAAAATATGGATCTCAATCGATCAGCTGAAATAAAAATGATAATAAATAATAATTCTCTGATTCAGCATCAACAGCAAAATTTCCAAAAATGTTTTAAAAATTCGGAAAAAATATTCCAATTACAATTTATTTCCCCAAAAATATGGATCTCAATCGATCAGCTGAAATAAAAATGATAATAAATAATAATTCTCTGATTCAGCGCCAACAGCAAAATTTCTAAAAAAGTTTTGAAAATTCGTAAAAAATATTCCAATAAAAATTTTTTTCCCAAAAATATGGATCTCAATCGATCAGCTGAAATAAAAATGATAATAAATAATAATTCTCTGATTCAGCGCCAACAGCAAAATTTCCAAAAATGTTTTGAAAATTCGTAAAAAATATTCCAATAAAAATTTTTTCCTCGGGAATATGGATCTCAATCGATCAGCTGAAATAAAAATGATAATAAATAATAATTCTCTGATTCAGTGCCAACAGCAACAATTCTTGGTGGACCAGAATTATTCGTGGGTGCAGGTAGTACGATCAATCTGACGTGCGCCATTCGATTCAGCTCTGAACCCCCAGCTTTCATATTCTGGTACTACGGTGACAATGTACTGAGCTATGACAGCCCAAGAGGTGGAGTATCTGTCATAACAGAAAAAGGCACTGACGTGACGACGTCATGGCTGCTCATTCAGTCAGCCCAACAGTCAGACTCTGGAGAGTACAGCTGTAAACCAAGCAACGCTAATATCGCTTCCATCCGCGTACACGTTGTCAACGGTGAGTATGACATGTCAAAAAATTACGCTTGCCACTTCATAATTGACGTAACTCCTTTTTTTTTATTAATTCATCCATTAATTTATCGAATATCTGAGGAATATAATATAATACTCATAATTAATTATGAAAAAAAAACATGAGAATAATATAATTATATAATATATATTATATTAATTCTTCAGTGAATTTTTTTTATTGATAGTTTTTAGGTAATATCTCGGAATTAAATAGACGACAGCAATAAATAATGAAAAGGAACGAATAATAAAATAATACGAAAAGTAATGATTTAAGGAGTTAATCGAGTGATTAATTTTGAAATGTTGATTTGGTTTTTTTTTTTTTTGGGTTCCAGCGAAAATATCGAATACTGCATGTGGAAAAAAATTATCGGAATCGATTTTTTTTTTTTTTGTGGGATAAAGTTTATTTATCTCCAGCTCGAACTGGACTTCAGATCCCTCACATGATGACTCGAACGCGTGGGAAATTTTCAATACAGAATCCGTAAAAAAAAAAAAACTCATAGAATTTCCAATGAAATTCCCCAGCGAACGCACTAGAATTTTCTATTGAATTTTCCCCCCGTGTTTTCTCCATGATATCGGACTGAAGGAGAAAAAATAATGGAAAAGAGAAAAAGGTTTATATTCTCGTGAATTTTTCACTTCACGAAAGACACCGCATGTCAGTGGAGCACATGAGTATTTCGTTGAATTTTCGGTGTGTGATATTGATGCAGGAGCCAGAGGGCATCTTTCAGACGCTCGTAAAAATTCAAATATCAATAAAATCGGGTAATCGAGTCTCTCTTTTGACACGCCACACCGGAAAATAAACCGGCAATTTTTCTCGTTACAGGGGAGAGACCGGAAGCAATGCAAACCGGAACCGCAGGACCCATTTTGTCGTCAAGCTGTCTTTTGGTATCGCTCATAATTTTGTACATATCCTCAGTGTGAAGTTTGTGGAACGAATAACCTGAAAACACTGAAAGTGACATTCAAATGAACAATATAAAGCTGAATATGTTTGAATTCGTGGATAAATAGCTTATGTAAAAAGTATTAAGTAATCTAGCGAATCGTAATGACGATAATTAATGGCGATAGCATTGATGAGGAAATAAAGAGAATGAGCTGAGTGAATTTTACGCCCTCAAAATAACAAATGTCTCAATTGTAATACCTCATACCCGAAAAAATCCTCAAACCAGTGACGAGATTTTCAAATTTCCCTCCAAAAAAAAGAATTTTTTCAGATTTTACGTTTTCATTTGGAATAAAAAAAAATAAATTAAAATCCTCAAATCAGCGGCAAGATTTTCAAATTTCCCTCCAAAAAAAGAGTTTTTTCAGATTTTACGTTTTCATTTGAAATAAAAAAATATAAATTAAAATCCTCAAATCAGCGGCAAGATTTTCAAATTTCCCTCCAAAAAAAGAGTTTGTTCAGATTTTACGTTTTCATTTCGAATAAAAAAATATAAATTAAAATCCCGAGAAGCTCAAGTTATGAATAATAAGAACAATTATAATGATTATTATTATCAGGTCCTTTGAATTTGAAGATGATTTTTTCCCGGTGGATAATTAATTATTTGATTGATTTTTGGGGTGTTTATTGATGTTCGATTTCTGGTGGCTGTGCGCTCCTTTCCACTGGAATTTTCTCGTCGAAAAAATTTTCTCGTCACAAAATAAAAAATATCTCAATTGTAATACCTCATACCCAAAAAAAAATCCTCAAATCAGTGACGAGACTTTCAAATATTTCCCTCCAAAATACTCTCACGTCTCCGTGACGTGAATGACGTTACAATTTCGATTCAATACTATTCTTCAATTTCTTCGAGTGTAACATCGTATTACCACATTTTCGTGACAGCGAATCGCTGATGCATTTCACGGGGTAAATAAAAAAAAAAATGGCGGATTTGCTGATATTCACGTTCGATGTTTGAGTTCTATTTCCGCAATGGGAGAAACCGATTGAAAAAGAACACCCGGAGAATCGGATTAATTCCTATATCGGGAAAAAAATCGCTAGCCGTACGTGGAATAAAAGTGCTTAGAAAGAATTACGTGACAATTTTTTTTTTTTGCGAAAATATATCCATCGTTTTTCAGGTACCCTCAGAGAAATTTTCGATTTAAAAAATTCACTCCGTCAATTCAAAAAAATAGATAAATATGACGTGACAATTAAATCTCCAAAACAGTCACCGTAAATTTATTAATTTCATATTTTATGATTTAATTAAGACTTTTTAATGAAATAAAATTTCATCCATAATTTTAAAAATCGACTAAAATATTTCGTCATTTTTCATCATTTTTCCAAAATCATATACGCTCTAGGGGATTTTTAATTATTAAAAAAATTATTGCCAAGTGAAATTTATTCGGTGAAAATTTTTCCCCGCGGAGGCAAGGGTCATTAATTATGACAAATTCGTAACAGTATTTCCCAAGGCATATCGAAGAAAGCTGACAAGAAAGTTTATTATAATTCAGGGATCGTCACCCGTCGAAGACTATTTATATTACTGACGAATTGAGAATAGATTTAGTCGACTGTCACGAATAGCCGCGTATACACAATCCGGGGTATCGAATATTTCAAGTGGTCAAGTGGAACCGGAAAAGTGTCACATCCATCACTCGAATAACAGTGATTAACCCGAGTGCCATGGAAATACTGCAACTGTCATTGGTACGATCGACTATTACGCGCATGAAAAAAAAAAGCGCTGAATTTTCCGGAAAATTACACAGACGTCCACTAAACGCGAATTCCACCAAAAATTTTATACATCCATTCGATTTTCCATTTATTTTCATTTCCCAAACCATTCCGAGGTTCAATGATGATTCATCTCTATTAGAATTCAATTGAATTGAAAAAGTCCCCAAATATTTGTTGAGGACGAAAAAAAAGAATGCATGGGAAAAAAAAGAAAATTTTTTCCGGAAAATTACACAGACGACTACTAAACGCGAATTCCACCAAAAATTTTATACATTCATCCGATTTTCCATTTATTTTCATTTCCCAAACCATTCCGAGGTTCAATGATGATTCATCTCTATTAGAATTCAATTGAATTGAAAAATTCCCCAAATATTGGTTGAGGACAAAAAAAAAGAATGCATGGGAAAACCGAAAGAGAAATTCCCCCGATTTTCCACGAGAACTCAATTAAATAATTTTTTTATGAAACAGTTATAATAGTATAGAAGAATAATGATATTTTTTGAAATACCATCTCAATAAAATAATGAAAATAATTTCAAGATTTTCCACTGAATTTTATCACAGTGAAAATCTCTGAAACACGCGCAACAGTTTTCCGCCTGCCATTTAACCTCACACGCCGGAAAATTCAGTAAAAATGTGGCAGTAAAATCCCCGAGAGACCCATTACCCGAGACTTAATTCTCATTGCAGGTGGTAATATTCTTGACATTGCACGGGACTGCCTCTGACAGAGTGGCAGGTGCCCCGAATACGATATCACAATTGATCGATGAAATCTCGAAAATTTCCACAGCTGCCAGTGGAAAATATGATAAACGCTGGACAAAAGGTGAAGGAATTCCAGAAAATCGTTTGAAAATTCGTCCATTCGCTCGATACGGTGCCCCGGGTGCTGGTGCCAGTGGATTAAGACGTCGAAAGCCCCAGGTACACCCCAACCCCTGGTCTCATCAGCCACGTAAACACACTAATGACATACCCGAGAGATTGCAACTCGAAAACTCAAAACTAGAACTGCCAAGTCCAATTCGTCACGTCGATTTTCGCGATGATGATCCCATCGCTAGTCAGAATAACGAGCCATTTCAGAACAACGGGGCTAATTATCTACCCCCGAGGAACCAGAAACTCCCATCACTGTCAGTCCACGTATTCCAGAGACCAGGACCAACACACCTGCCAGCAAATCATCACAAAATATCCGATCCCCAAATCTCAGACGCTACATTATTTTTAATAAAAAATGCACAAGCCCTTTCGCAATTGTACGAAACACCAGCGATGAATATGGATTATCCACCGTTCAATGACAATCAGAGGATCAGGCAGTCGCATCTTGGCGATCTCCAGGAGGTGGGACCTCTGAAGACTCTTCAGGATCTCCAGGTGCCGCGGATTACTCAAACAATCGTTGGGGGGCGATCGCCCGTCAGCAATTCATTGATTAATAAATCCCCAGGACCTACGAAAATATGTGGTGAGGATGCCTCGAAGTCCCATCAACTCACGCCGAAGGAGTTGGTATTTGGGAGGAATTGGAATCACCAGGCCACGAATTATCCGTCACCCGGTGACATATCTCTCTCATCAATTCCCACTATTTCTCCAGGACTTGATTTGCGACAAGGAAATCCCACAGTATTTCCATATCCACAGTACACTGGGATCATTCCGCTCGTTACTCATGCACAGAATTATCCGATAACTCAGGGAATTCCTCAGGACACGTCTCCAACGCATTTCGATCTGCCAATTGTCCCAGCAACTCCAGGAGTCAGCGATTTCAGGGCGGATTATTCCTCCAGGCCTTTCCAAATTTCTGGCAACGTACTCTCAATTTTTCCTTCAGGTACTCTCCAGGATTCCCTAGCTTCCCCATATCCTGGGTATCCGGCAACAACTTCCGGATTTTGATGCCTGCGCAGGGGAATCGCTGATGAATATATCAGGATTACGTGATACTTTTGCGATATCACCTGGAATTTTCACATTTTCCCGGGGAAAACAGTGCGGAAAATGAGAAGAAATGAAAAGAACAAACTGGAAAATTTCTCTATTTCTTATTTCAACCTAGAATTTTTTCTCTTTCGTTTTTCCCCGGAGAAATGATAAAAATCCAGAAAAATTTTGAAATCAATTCCGCTGAGGGATTTCCTCTCATTAATTTCCACTTTCAAGAAACCTTTCTCCGTATTCATTTAATTTATTATTAACCTTCATTATTTTTACCTTGTAATTGAATTTTGTATGACTCGTTTTGATTGAATAATTAAAAGTTTACGGCGCAGGTTGACTGCGCGTATTTTGACGGTGTGATATTTTGTTCGGGTGTAACTGTATGGAACAACTGTTCAATTAACCATTGCAATTGTTTAAATGATGATTCAAGTGCAGATGTGGAGTGAGATTGAATTGATGAAGTTTACACCGGGGAATTGGATTTATTCCAATTGTTTAATTCGCTGTTTTCATATCAGTCGTTGAATTGTATAAAAACATTTAACGCAATTCATCGGTTTTATTATTTTATCCCACGTTAATTGGATTCTTCGAATATTATTATTAATTATTATTATTATTATTATTGTTGTTGTTGTTCTTGTTGTTGTTGTTACTATTATTATTAATTATGAGTGATTATTGACCTCTCATACAGGAAAATTGACGGAAAAGAATTTTTTTCAGATTTTAAATTTTCATTTGCAATAAAAAAATATAAATTAAAATTTCGAGAAGAACGAGTTATGAATAATGAGAACAATTGGCATGATTATTATTGTTAGGTCGTTATTATTGGATTTGAAGATGATTTTTTTGGGGGGGGGTTGTTAATTATTTTAGTGATTTTTTGGGGGAGTTTTTTGATTTTTGAGTTCTGGTGGTTGCGCGCTCTTTTTGATTGGAATTTTCTTTTCAATGTCTGCCTGAGATATTGAGGGGTCTGCTGGAGATTTCTGTACAGCAAGATACAAAGTCAAGGCTTCACACATACATATTATACCAGAGGCCATTCACTTTCCGCTACTAACCCAGATCTTAATTCAGTTTTCTTTTATTTCGTTTCCACGCACTCGTTCGGGAACTTTTACCGTTTGGAAATGGCACGAGTCGGATTCTTTATCTGATTTTTTTTTTCACTGGTGATAAGAAATTCTTGCAGACACTCGGTGGTAATGATTCCATCAATCATTCGGATTTTCGATTCCAGGAATCGTGATGGACTTCCCGGGAATTTAGAATTTCGGTTTATGGTGATAGCTTCAGCCTTTCTCGGGTAAAAAAATTGTTAATGGAATATTTTTTACAAATTTTCAAAAAATTTCTGGAAAACTTCACAGGAAATTTTTCTTTTGAAAAAAAAATGGGAGACAAAACAATTGTATTTTTGGAAAATTTTTCAAAAATTTGTTTCGCAAATTTTTTTTAAAAACTTTCTAGAAATTTTTGCGAATATAATTTTTTCTTTTAATTAAACTGTTATTTTCTTACTTTTTAGATTTTTCAATATTCTCAAAAAAAAAAACGCCATCTAAATAATAAAAAAAAATTTCCTATTCAAATTTTTGAAAATTATTTCACACCCTTTCCAAAAAATAAAATCGTTTTGCTTTCCGATTTTTTTGTTTCATAAATTAAAATTCTAAAAAGTTCCAGAAATTTTTGGAAAATTTGGAAAAAATATTTCGATTCCAATTTTTTTCCCGGGTTACTTCCGATTTTCGGACTTCTGAGATCAGACCGAAAAATCTGAGTCCCAGACTTTGAATCCCGATTCCGTAAATTCTAGTGTTTCTCCGCTCCCCGATTTTCCGTCTGACGGAGTGGTAATTGTAATTCATCACCTGACGTCATACTTTCACCACATCAAACTGCCGACGTGGACGATTGACGTGGACGATCGCTTTGTTAGAATTGCCACACGGTAATAATCATCATAGCTAGCCGAATTCGTCGGATCAGGTGCGACCCAGTGGACTGCAGTTCAATCGCTTTCTGATCCATCACTTTTGCTCGTTCAGTTGATGAAGAACGCCAGATCATTCCCCAGCAGACTCCATAAAACTTTATAGCCACTTTGGCCAATCCTCCAATATATAATATACATATATACTCTCGTACATACCCATACCAAATATATATAAAAAAAAGTGCAATAAAAGATTCAAAATACGATCGATTCTCAAAGAAATCCCTAAAAATTTCTTAATTACTCAAAAAAAAAAATTAATTCCGAGTTTTTTCAATTTTTAATTCTATTCTCTTTTAATTTTAAAAATAATTCAATTCAATTTATTTCATTCCACTTCAATCCAAATTTTTATCCGGAACATCCAGTGAACTTTTTTTTTTTATCCACGAAAAATCGTGCGATGGAATGATCTATTCCGCGTTGATGATCGCGATAACCTATCGGGGTGGTCGTGTAGGTAAATCGGATACCCGGGAATTCCACCCTCTCCCGGAGGTCTAGTGATCGATCCCAAAGTTGAGAATTCCACAATCGAAACGTGACGTATCATCAGCTGATACCCAAAACGAAAACACGAAGCGCGAAAAAATGACAACTCGCGGGAGTACAAAATATTTATCCACGGGTGTGTGAATCTACCTTCACCTAGACCTTCCTTTCCACAGCACCCACCTAAGAGGGGATTTCAATATAAAAGCTGTCCCCAGAGTTGCAAATAGCATCAGATCATTTCACCAGGTGATCATAGCGATTAGAAGAAAGTACTTCACCCTGACATGCGATCAACGGTAAGTCAATCACTGAATAATTCCTAATAATTTCATTTACCTCCTCTGCCTATCGATAAATAAATTTTAAATTCTATTCCCTCAACACCAGTTACTCCTCGGGCTATTGGCCCTGGCATTATCGCCGATAGACGGAAAAGAGAGAAGACCCGAGAACAAGCTCCGAAGATATGGTCCATTCGGGCTGAAGGACAAAAGAGGTGCAGAATACATATCGAATTATCAACCGCAGAGTCTGTCACCAGGAATCCACTCCCTGATGGGACTGACTCCATCCCTATCAAGCCACACCATGACACGTGCCCTGGGTAATTATCAAGGACTGGAGCACAGCAGTGGCGGTCAGGGTGGCCTCTCCCTGCTGCCAGGTCATGGTATTCCCTCGATGGGAATCAGCCTCGGTGGCCATGGCCAAACAATCTACACCCTCCCAATGTCCTCAATCATGTCATCATCAAAATCACCAATAATGTTCGGTCTTCATACCGGTCTCACCAGTGGATCCAACTACAGGACCTACTCCCCAGGTGTTTCCAGCATTTCAGGATACCCTGGATCGAGTGGATCATCCAGTCCAGCTGAATCCTCTTATGGCTCCTTAAGTCTTCCAGCGAGTGGAGATTCTACTGGCCTCCAGACGATTCCTCAGTCCCACGGTATATCTGGTGGACTCGTCTTCCTGGAAAGCCCTCAGAACACCCAGACCTATCACACCGGCTTATCAAGTGGCTCATCAGATAGCTCCAGCTACAATCTACCGATATCCGATTCAAAATATCGAATATCATCCGCCGGTAGCTCTTACGCATCACCGACCAACTCGTACTCATTCCCAAGCACAAATTACGGAATACCCAGTAACAGCATCATGTCGGGCACTAGCTCATCGAGTCCTACTGTTCATTATTCACCACCCAGCTCTTACACACCCTCGCATACTAGTACTGCTGCATCGTATGACTCAAACTCAATCAATTATGCTTCACCAGGTAGTTCATATTCTCAATCAGATTATTCTAATCACTCACCATCCAATTCGTATGGATACTCTGAACCACAAACATCTTATTCACATGTCAGCTCTATCCAGAGCAGCCACACCCCAGTGAAAGCATACGACGAGTACATTCCCAAATACGACACCATCTCCTACTCTAGCCCTCGTGATAAGTATTAGTGCAGTCCAGTTATTTATTGATTTTATATTTATGTATTTAAGTCGCCAATCATCTCTGTACTCTCATACAAATCATTATCATGGAATATCGATTTAATAAAATCGCCTGGAAATTGTGGAATTAATTGCTTTTTATTGTTAATTGTTAACCATTTTTTTTCTGGATGTTTATCATCTTTTGGATAATGAGGAGAAAAATCGGGATTAATTTGTCTGTTGGACGTTTGTTTATTTATCAGAACTTCAAGACTCGAAACGAGGGAGATAGTGGAAATTGTTTACGACTAAATGTTTAACGATTTTATTTTTTATTTGTATTTGGATAATCGGAATGACTTTATCTGTGAGAGATCGGGTTTGCTGAGGACTTTGGATAAACATTGTTAATTGCACGTGAGTTGCAACGACTTCCATACATGTGTTTAAATACGAGTTCTTCTTGCTGGTGTGTTATAAATCACAGGGGCAGTTTCCAGTGATAATCACTGGAACGAAGCTCTCCATTCAAAAAGAGAGAAATGCACTTGCGGTGGATAAAAAATGGCGACATCACTTTTACTTAAAAGTGAATAGAGAGTGATATCCGGACAAACCCCTTTCTAAATTCTTCATCTCCTGGGGAAGCTGCAGTGAACGTCATACGGTAGTGACCAGTTGAGAAATCTCAATTTATAACGTCAATTTGCAATTATACTGCACCTCAGATGAGAGTGCTCCCTTTCCTGGGGTATTTTTCTATCGCCGCTTGTGGAGAGAAAAAATTCATTCCATTAAAGTTTCATTCGTCACTCAATCCAATTATTCTTATATTTTTTTATTAATAATAATTTTTATTTGGGGGTAGATAATTTAATGGGTTGTAGAACATGTTTCTGCGGATTGGGTAGGAATTTTTAAACAATTTTTCTCATTGTTTTATTTATGAACTTTATAGTCCGCACGGTCTACTTGTCCTTGTCTTCTCATTCCGCACCTCTTGCTTCCTCCATTTCCTTTACCATTCTCACTTCCGGTCTTCCGGCATTGGTTCCTCTTTCCGGTTGATAACTGGGAACAATATCTCATTTTTCCACACGATCCGATCGCTAGAATAAATCGCCAAAACGCCGGGAGAAGAAATCTATCGACGTAATTATGAATATCGCGGTGTTTATTGCATAAATCAATTACCCGGGTAAAAATTGTAATCGGAATATTTTTTCAAAGTTTTAAAAAAAATTTTGGAAAACTTTTCCGAATTTTTTTTTTTGAAACAAAAAATCGGAAAAAAACTTTTTTTTTTGGGGAAGGTTTTGAAAAATTTTTCGAAAATTTGAATATGAAATTTTTTTTTAATTTAGATCGCGTTTTGGTGAGAATATTGAAAAATCAAAAAAGTAAGAAAAGAACAGTATAATCAAAAGAAAAAATTACATTCCCAAAAATTTCTGGAAAATTCGAAAAAAAAATTTCTGAAACAAATTTTTGAAATATTTTTCAAAACATTTCCCAGAAATATAATTGTTTTGTCTCCCGATTTTTTTTGTTAAAAAAAAAAATTCTGGAAAGTTTTCCAAAAATTTTTTTGAAAATTTCGAAAAAATATTCCGATTATAATTTTTACCCGGGTATTTAATTAGCGGGTTACAACTCAACTTCTCGAGGGATCCTGAATCTCGATTAATCCCTCGAAAATTCGGAGATTAATCCAAAAATTTTGAACCGGTGGAAATAACTCTGAAGTTGGAGAGAAAAAAAATGTACAGATATTGTGGAAATTATTCAGTGGATTAATCTGATCTGGAGCGCGTGAAATCGGATTACTCGGTAATGCAGTCGAGTCCCGATAGTTGGGAAGTCTTTCCCAAATTCTCAGTGGCCTCCCCTAGGTTTCGACCCTCTTATCGTCTCCCATTGTCCTCCGAATGTAAACACAGGGACAAATAATTTTATTTCAAGTTTTCCAAGGAGTTGGCAGCCACCGACGAGTGGAGCCTCGAGAAACTTTCCAAATTCATGGAATTGAATTTTCCCATAGTCCTTTGGCCCTGGAAACTATCGGAATCCACTCCCTGTCCATTTCCTGGGGAGAGATCAGATACGGCTCCTGGGAGAACACCCCTGATTATTAACCCCTAAAAAATTATTGAACTATCTGACTCCAAGGGGGTGTGACAGTCTCAATAATTTCTCTGGTCTAATTCGTCTGTAATTTAAATTGTTGTAACGTAATAATAAATTTTTGGAGTTAATTACCGTCAGACGCAAAAGTGAAAATCCTGATTCGACAGTTTCAGGACTTTAGGACTTGAGGACTTTATGTGAGACTCTTTATTTTTATAAACAATAGGATCAGATGGCTGAGTTTATAATTCCTCGATGAATCAATCGAACCAGGACCTATTTTTCTTAATTATTATATTATATTATTTATTCCTCGAATTAATCAATTTGCGATTTAGTCTGTGGCTGTGTAAATTGGAGAAATGCAATTTGAAAAAAGATATTTCTCTGGAGTGATTCCAAAAGAAGAAAAAGTCTCTTTTCTCAAGTGCAAGTGAACTATCGAAAGGTGTGGCTGTATGAAATGATGGTAACGGCACATCCAGAGAAAGTGAAGCGATTCCCTAGACAACGCGTTAAAAATACCAGAGAATTGAAAAAAAAAAATGGGTAAAATGAATGGAGCGGGAAGTCCGTGTTGTCTGGACTCAATTAAATGGATTATATTATTATTTTATTTTCAGGAATCCGCCCATTTAACCTTTCTCAAATTGAAAGTGATTTTAGCTCACGGCACCTTTCGTGCAAGATGTACCTGAAGAGTAATCCATTTCTTTGTACACCAGACGTTTACCCTTCCCTCATGGTAATGAGCACTGGAGGTAAATAGAAATTGGTTCTTTTTTCTTTGCTGGTAGAACAATGAGTTCTTTTCGGGCTGGCGGAAAATCAGGGGATGAGTGATGAAAATTGCGCGGTATGACGAGATGTCATGGAAATAGAACATTGAATTTCTACTGAAAGAGAACGTACATTAGCTGCTAATTCTCGGTCTAGCTGGGAGGAAAGTTGAACTAGTTTTTCAATTTTTCAAGCTAGCCAGTATAAAGTACAAGTCCGATACTCGATGCTTCATCATTGACTGTTCGACTCGGCAATCATCATTTACTCATCGTAAAATCCACTGACCATGATGATGATGATGACGGGATGCTCTGAATTATCCTATTCAAAACAATCATTCAATTAATTAGGACGTAGTCCAACCGATCAAATTGTTTGTATTAATAATTAGTCATTAAAAAAAATTTTCATTGGAATATTTTTTCCAAATTTTTCCAAAGTTTTCCAAAACTTTCCAGAATTTTTTTTTATGAAACAAAAAAAATGAGAAAGCAAAATAATTTTATTTTTGGGAAAGGCTTTGAAATTTTTTTTTTATAATTTAGATGGCGTTTTTTTTTTTTGAGAATATTGAAAAATAAAAAAGTAAGAAAACAATAGAAAATTATTTTTAAAAAATTCCGAAACAAATCTTTGAAAAATTTTTCAAAACATTTCCCAAAAACAATTGTTTTGTTTCCCAATTTTTTTATTTCAAAAGAAAAATTTTCTGAAAAGTTTTCCAAAAATTTTTTGAAAACTTAAAAAAAATATTCTGTTTACAATTTTTTTTACCCGGGAGTCGATTCGTCCGGTAGATTTAATCCATGAAAAAACTGAAAGAGAATATTTCAATAGAATTCCAACAAAACTCTCCAGAAATTCCTTCAGAATTTTGCATTTCCTCCGGATGATGGGAATTAGGGGTGGTGTATCCGTAATAACTTAGGGAAAAAATAAAAAATAAAATAGGACAGAGTCAACTAATAAATCGTCAAGTCCATTTCCACCTCTAAATTGAATCGCAGAAACTCCTCGCCATCCCCAACGCTTTCCTCTCTCAATAGCCAGCAATCAGCAGTTCAACGTCCTGAAGAAAGTGGCCTTGTCCTATCCTTCGCTCCTTCCGGTCGATATAGAGCAGGCAAAAAAGTCTCCATTGGCCCAGTCTAACACCGACGTTGGCCCAAGTGAATGTATACAACTCTATTGCTATTTAATGGGGTGAGATTCCCGCGCTGAGGACCAAAGAATGGATTACGCCGTTCACCATAGCTGATCTTTTGTACTTTCGTATGTACCACGCTTTCTGGAGAAGGGGATAGGCTTTATAACTTAAGACGAACAACTTCGGTTTTGTAGTTCAGCTACAGCTACGAGACTCCCGTATTCTGTCGAAAAATCTCAATTTAAACATTCGAGATGGTGAGTCCTACAGACGTCGGAGAATTTTTCCGAAATTTCCAGGGAAACTTAGACTTCTGAATATTTAAAAATCTCAAAATCTCAGTCACGAAATTCTCGCCATTTTTATTTTTATATGATTAATTTTTTCACGATATCCGGAATTTTTCAAATAAAATTGAATTTTTTAATTTCTACTCCTGCAAATGTTTTAATAAGGAAAATATTATAATTACATTTTTTTATTTCTATTAACGGAGTCAATTAAAAAAAATTTCAAGGTAAATAAAAAATTCAATTCAGAACCCGGGTAAAAAATTTAATCGAAATATTTTTTCTAAATTTTCAAAAAATTTCTGGGAAACTTTTCAGGAAATTTTTTTTTTGAAACAAAAAAATGGGGAAGTGAAACAATTGTATTTTTCAAAAATTTGTCTCGGAAAAATTTGTTTTTTATTTTCTAAACGCTATCTAAATTATTAAAAAAATTTCCTATTCGAATTTTTGAAAAAATTTTCAAAACCTTTCCCAAAAATAAAATAATTTTGTTTTGCAAAAAAAAAAATATTCTCTAAAGTTTTCCAGGAATTTTTAGAAAATTTGGAAAAAATATTCCGATTCCATTTTTTTTTAACCCGAGAAGTCAAAAGTATGAAATATCAATTGAATCAATTGATAAATTTTTCGGCTGGAGTAATTACCGGAAGTTATGGAGAGATTCAATGGGAGGCAATTACCATTTCGATTAATGGGTAATTAATGAGGAAATGTTGGATAATTTACTGGGAATTTCGCGTGAATCAATCTCCCGTGAGTTTCGCTTTCAATGAAAGTTCCTTTTATAAATCACCCATTATTCCAGAAAGCGATCATCATTGTGAGTCTATTGGTGCCGTTGTCCCTGGGGGACCAAAAAATCCATCCGGAAGACATCGAGAGAGATAATCATCCCGAAAACCGCTCACCCCTGCCACAGAGACCATATTCACCAGATCCTGAGGCAGGACCTGAAAGATATATGATAGTAACTTCCAATCACGTTGATTATACCGTACGTACACGATATCATATTTCAATTTAATAAATAAATAATTCATCATCATTTATCAGAAATCCACGAATCTCCCTAAAAATCGCCAAAACAATTAATTACGATTCTATCCCAGAAAAATAACATGAATTACTAATTATTTATTGATAGCTAATAATTAATTATTAATTCCTGAAATTAAATATGTTGAACGAAGATTTTTATTTGATTCGAATTATTGATAGTTTATTTTTAAAAAAAAACATGCAGATGGGGTGAATCTTGTAATAATTATCGAATTTTCCTCTCGGTGCAACCGAATCGTGGAACAGGGGCAGAGCAATGGGCACAATGGAGATAACGTCGACAGTGATATCAGATATCAGATGAAAACGGAGGATGATACCTCCACGAAAGCACAATCCCCTGACAACTATGTCGAGTATCCAGTGCAAATACAGATGCCAAAGAGGCTGGAGCACGTGAATTATCGACAGCATTTGGTGGAGTGGCCCAGACCACTTGGAGATCATCAGTATCAAATGAACCAACAAAGATTGATGCGATATCCTGTGCAGACACTACGGGGTAAGTAATTATTCCCCAGCACTGAGATCAATATTTCCATGATCAAGATGAACTGGATGGGGAAGAGCATCTCCAACGATTTTCTTTAAAAGTTCTATCCCATCAAAACACTCGGACACTAGGATTATTATATTTATTTCATTTGATCCTTGAAAGTTGTTCTCTCAGCGAAGTGTTCACAGGGAAAAAGATTTCTCACTCCCTGGACAAATTCCTTTAAAAGTTCCCTCTAGGACTCTTCGTCCTAACTATCTTTTTACTTAAAATAAGTGAGTTTCCACTTGACTCAAGTGAAAACTCTTTCCAAAAGTCAACGGCTGGTAAATCGTTCAATTCAATGCGAAAAAAAAATTGATAGAAAAACATAATTCAATAGATTTTCACCTCGACCAATATTTCAGTGAAATATTAATAAAATTATTGAGAAAACAATAAATTTATCTGGTTCTGGTATTATTAAGTGGAATAGAGGTTTTTAGTTTATTTTTTTACTGTTCAGAGGCTGTGTACATTCCGGCGAGTCAATTGTTGGCTTATTCCCGCAACTTCTGGTTGAGCCAAGCACTGGCAACAAAAAATTCAGGCCTCCTGCAACACCTCGCACCCCAAATCGTGGAAAAATCACCAGCTGCGGTGTATAGCACAGCTCTAGGTCAATCTGCACACACTGCATCGACATATGCTGGATACCCATCAGCGATTGACCCACATCCGGAAGAGATTCTCCCAGCCAAGGTCATTATTTATTCTAAGAGATCTCCAATTTTCAATGACGCAATGATTTCCAAATGGTATTCATTTCCAAAATGCAGGGAATTCATGTGAAAATTCTTCATCCAAATAATTCATATAAAAATTAATCCAATTCAATTTTTCAATTAAAAAAAAATTAATGCCTTCGGCGTTAATATTCTTTCCTCAAAATATCATTCCATAAATTGCGGGGAATTCCAATTCATGCAAGTTCTTTTGAATTATTTTTTTTCTTTTTATTCGAATTGTTAGGAGAACTGGATTGTCCTCTGAACTTCTGACTTGAATTTTTGGATTTTTAGGTGGTGTTGTCTCAGCCGCAGATCCAATATCTCCAGGAATTCAGTTACAAACCCACAAAGTCCCAGGCAGACGTCGATCATGTGGGCACTTATGCAAGTACTCCCGTCCATGCACAAGGCCAGGCAGTTTCTTACTTGCAGAGCCAGTTGGGACACCTCAACAACCGAGAGGAACCAAAAAAAGTGCAGTACAACATACGTCTGACCAAACCAGTCTACCGGACGCAAACTGATCAGCGACATTTAAAGGTCAAGATTAATAATATCGTCCTACAAAAAATATTTCTCCCAATTAAAAATAATTGCGGCAAATATTTCTTCAGAATCCATTTAATTTTCACATCTCAAAGAAATTTCTTCTGCATCTGTAATTCTAATTGACAGAAATAATTTTTATTCATTCATTTTATTAGTTTTTTAAATTTTGGGATGGGCCTTTTTTTTGGGTTCATTATAGGTTTCGGATTTACCGAGACAGGAATTGGCAGCTCCACTGCATTCAACTGGTGATGATCGTCAGCCTTCCAGTAATATTGATCATACACCGGAATCGAAATCGTTGCTGGGGTCGTACATTCCGAGTCATGTAATTGCTGCACAAGATGCCGCCAGGTACCGGGAACGACCCCTGAAGCTCGAGGGTGGTTTTTTGCCGTCGAAAATGAATTTCTTCCATGTGTATGGAAAACGCAAGTCCAAGTACACGCAATGAGACTTGATGCCATGGGCCATTTAGTGCGATATTAGGATATTTCATTTAATGCCATCTTGTATTTATAAATTCGCGAGAAGAATTTCAGAGGTGTATATTAATAAAATTATTCGACAATTCGACAATTTGTTCTGATTTTTTTTTTCCATTTCTCCTTATTCTGTTGTTTTTATAAACAATTTCCCCTTATTATGGTTATATTCATGAATAATTATTAAAGAATGGTAATTAGTGGAAAAAACGTGAGGTGAAGGCGCCGCCATGTTGGGAAGATGCAGCATCTCGAGATGGCGGCGCACCCCTGCGCACCACCTCGTGTTTTTAAACATTTCTTGAAATTGTTTATTCCTTTCTAAATACATCCAGCCCACTTTATCCTGTTTGTTGCGAGTGAACAATTTTTTTAAGCCCTTTTTCCGATATTTCTGTCTCTTGTGGAGTGAAAATTCTCAATGAAAAAAAAAAAAGAAATCGAGTTCCGAAGGTACGAATCCATTGTGGATTTTCCGGGGCTGGAGAGAATGCACATCGGTTAATATTCTATCATCGGGATTGCGTGTTTACATGGGAGATTTCGAATAAGTGTTACGATCAAATCACCGAATTCCATATTACGATACACGATAAATTTTTAATCGGAATAAAATTCCCAGTAAAAAGTCGAAATCATTCGTTACGCAAGCCGCATTCGGAGCAGACGAAATTTTATTTCTATGACGTCTAGGGGATCCTACGATACAATAATCCGACCATCGAGGACGCTTTTACTTTTCTAATTTCCCATGTTCGCGTACAGATCGCATTTCGCGATAAATTAACACGGCAATTAACTCCTGCCACGGTGTACCGAATGCCCCAACTGTTGCGATTTATTCATCAAAAACAACTGATAAAGGAAGTGCCAATAAAAAATCCACATATCACGAGAAATTAAAATTATTACCCAAAAAAAAAAACGAGTTTCCAGAAGAACTTCAACATTCCATTCAATTCGCTCTATAAAATAAATCGCCACGCGTTGCAAACTTGTAAATTTTGCAGATTCTCTCAATAATTTTATATAATCCATTATGCAATTGAATAAACTAATGGGAGAGCGCATGGCAAAGAGGAATAATGTGAAATAAAAAAAAAAAACCATTTGTAACATCAAAGAAATGTGACTGAAAATTGAATTGCATCCCGAATCCCGCGAAATGAGAGATATTACGGGTAAATTTGACCAGCGATGTAAAATTTTTACAAATTCCATAAAAAATTGGAATTTCCTGTGTGGAATATGGGGACAGATACCGCAAAGCGGTGGAGAGAGTCGCGCCAGCAAATGAGAGCGAGGGGAATAATTAATTCGGATTCATCAATGGGTAATGAGATCTGACCACCGGCGAATAATACAATGGAGAGCCAAAAGCATTTGTCAATATTCCAGAAATAATTCAACGAGACTGAAAAGTCGCGACAACACAGGGAATCCGTTAATAACTCGCGATTCGCGGAAATGTACCGCGGAATAAAAAAAAAGGGTACGAAAAAGGGGCCGTTTAAGAATTTTTGGAGGCCACGCAAGGTCCCATATTATTGGCAGATGTCTTGAGTGTACATATGTAGTATATAACGTCGAAGTGAAACGAACAGCGAGGGCATATAAGGTGGGATGCTGTAGACGCGACTTTCTCAGTATCCAACGTACAAGACCTGTCTCCCGTGTCATTAGTTTTCGTGGTCCATCGAATTATGAAGATTCTCAGTATCTGCGTGAGTACCATTTAATGAAATTACTCTGCCAATAAAATCCCACAAGATTCAATCGAAATCCACGAGAATACTCACGTCAAAATAAATTTAACTATTAATAATATATATATTGATAATTTATTTACCTCCGGGTATGCATACTCTCGGTGGAAAGTGATAAATAAAAATAATTGGAATATTATAAATTAAAAACAATAGCTTTAGGAGAAAATAATGAAGTGT